AAAAATATTTTTTTAAGCATACTACAATAGTACAGAGGGTTATTCAGCCAAGTGTGGTCACTTTTTGGAAAATTTCTGCTTAGCCGCTGCAGGCTCATTTTACTTTTTTAAAAATTTTATCAAATAGCCACAACATTCAATCACATTTTGAATTCAACCGAGCCAAGATTTCGTTATCCTGTAGCCCAGGAAAAAATTAAGTTTATCCCCACCATGTTGGCAACAGTTGACCAGTTCAGCTATAGGAAATGGATTCCCTTTACTCAAAATTAATTTAAAATTTGGGTTTTCGCCATAATCGACTGGAAACCTGTCATGGGTTTCGAACAAACCTTTTTCAGAAGGAATTACTAGTTTTTTTTGATCAGGAAGCAACATCCTTGTTTTCTCAGCAGTGCTCCCGGGAGCACATCTCTGGTTCTGGATGACTTCTTCCTCTCTGCCAGGCTTAATCCGTGGAGCGTCTTTTTCGACCAATGAACATTGTAAATTGTGAAGGAAGACCTGCGTTACAACTTTAGTTTGTGGAGGAACGAAAAGGATAGCCATAGCTCCGTGAGTAGAATTCGCACATTGAGCATGGCTCTTGCGAGTGTCTTCCTGTTTTCGCGTTTTTCCAGCCGTCCTACCGCAAGAACGCGCAAGAATATGGAATCATTTTGCTATAAAAATATTCGGATCGTCGTTTTTCACAATTAAAACCATCCAGATTTGAAAAGCAGACGATCCTTTTAAGGCCAGATCATCGAAAGCCAAATTTTGCCTGGTCAAAGGTTTAGAGTCGGAGTCTTTAGGTCAGTAGCCAATATTGCGGGCTGTTTAAACCCGATTGTCACAAAAACTTGCAAAAAGCATCAAAACTAATTTGCCATAATAAAACAATTATTAGAATCTGACTCTGCGCAACGGCTGAATTATAGGAATTTTTTTAATGCGCTGACCACACTTGGCTGAATAACCCTCTGTACACTACCATTTTACAAAACATGAGAATTTTTTGAATTTGGAGGCGGAAAATGTTCCCTGGTAAGAGAAGTCCAAATCCACCAAAAGGGACACCGGGTTTTGGGTATATGTTTCTGACAATTGCTAAAATATCTCTCTGATGCTTTAGATTAATAAGGAACATTGATACCAAGGAAGAGTAAAAAGGTGGAGAAGAGTAGTCTACAATGGCAGTTACTGAAGTCCAGTTGTACTTCCTCAAAATCTCGATATACAGCTCTGCAAACTCAGACATCAAAAGATAATTGGTGGACATCCATGTTGGATACGAACTTCGGTCGTGTATTTTAAGGCCGCCTCCCCTTATTAAAAAAACCACATGGATAAGAAATAATAAAATATTAACCGAACATTTTTTAAAGAAACGGAAAATCGTATTTTTAATCGCTTACGATGATATAAATAAAGTATCCCATTCTGTATAAAAATGTGGCATGTCCGTATCTGCAACGCATCCTACAAATCCAAGCTGGGGCTTAAAGTAGACAGAAACTTCCCAGTTTCGTTAACACAAACTACGGTCACGGACTTAAGATCAACCTGATCAACTTTATGCGTGCGAACACTCTTCGCCCGGCTAAAATTCACCATGATTACATAATTTACATTACCGGGTACAAGGTAAATGGTAAGGTCGCGCTCGTTTCTTTGCCGATAATGCCAATCAGCTAGCATGGCAATGGCATTGGCATTCAGCTCTGCGCATGTTCGGTCGGAAAGGAAATTAAGCTTGAAATGGATGGTACTGTTGTTGTACAGCTTCTTCACCTCTTCAACGGCTAATGAATACCCTGGTCCTGTAAACGGCAGTGCCGCAAATCCATCCATGGCCACACCCCCAATTACCACAAAACTAACCGTGTACAAACTGCCGTTTAGATGCTGATCGTGATTATGAAAGGTTTCCGTTAAGACAAAACAGGCAGTGAACAACATCAAAGCGGTTGATGTGATTTTTTTGCTAAGTAACATGGTACGCGGCTCAATATTGCTATTTGGTAAATATCCTTGCGCACTATGATAATATTCTGATGACAAGTGGTGCTTTGATTTCGTACTGAACACTGAAATAAATAAATTTCCTGGCAAAGGTAGAATAAAAATGCATTGCCGTGGTTATAAGGGGCACTTTCTGTAATCGTTGTAATTAAAACGCTGGAGTGAGCACAATCAGTTAAAAATTGATAAAGATGGAATCATGTGCAGCTAGGGCCTAAGTTGTTTTCATGACCATACCATACAGTGCTATAACAGAATTTGCATTTTACATTTCATCTGTGCAACGTGGGCGCTGATGGGCTGGGCATGTGGATTTGCAGGACAGGACAAGAAAGTCATGAAGGTAAGGTCAAACTCCTTCAAGGCATTTCATACGTAATGGCAGTACTGTAGGAAGATTTAAATTTGCTGAAATATGTTGACCTTCGTGTATTTTATAAACAGAAACCGGTTCACGGGCTGCCAAGCTTGCCTGTACGACGTAACCTTTGGGATATCATTAATTAGTTAAGTAACAAGCTTGCTGTTATCCGTTTCATGCAAAATTGCAAGTCACTCTCTACGCTACGCGAGTGTGTGTCGCTTTCATCTAAAAGAAATTAAGAAAAGTTTTTTTATTTTGGTGTCACTGTTGTGGTACTGCTAATACTACGCATAAAGTACTAATACTACGTATACGGTATAATCGTACCATTGTTAGTTATTACTTTAGATATACCGTGTTACCGGCATTTTTTGTAACACCATTGGATTTTACAAACTCTGCACATTTACCCGTAGACCCTTTCATTTATCGAGCGACGTAGCTGAAGTCCGCATGCGGTGGGCCGTACCACTGCCGAATTATATATTTTTCAAAAAATTTCTTTAATATTCGCCAAATCGTAAATGAAGATTTTGAAGTGCAAATCTGCTCACAAATTTACGGAAAATGAGCTTTGAAAGTTGAAAGTTTGCCAGCGGTGGCACGGTCGTCAGCCCACGTGCCACCGCACGTGGGCTGACGACCGTGCCACCGTCTGTACTTAAGTGACAGCGGAAACGACCACCAACTTGTGCGCAAAATTTAAAATAAAATTACGGAAAAAGTTTGAATTGACCAATTCACATATAGGACGGACTAGCCTTCTATTGGTCGATTGTCACGTGGTTCGCTTGCCTAATATCGTCCAGCAGGTGTAGACTGTGCAGACTGATGCTGCATTTGCTGTGTATTTTACTGCTTTCCACTTTTTCTTTCTGATCTCAAAAAGTGATTTTAATTTTTTTTAACTGGCTAAGGGACCTGATAGCGAGATATTATTGGAAATTGCATCAGGAATTTTCTCCTTTGATACACAGGCCTGAAGAGAAACACAGGCCTGAACCGCCTGATCCGTCCACAGCTGAGTTTCGTCGAGCAATGCAGCTAGCATATGGTGGATTTGTTTTTCTGGATGCAGCAGATTCCGAAACGCGGGATGGCAATTTAGCTATGCTGTCGTTATATCTGAAACCCCAGGACAAAATCTACAAAAATGTACGCGGACGAATTTCCGCGAACAGCAGGAAAGCAATGGAAGCGTACAGTGGATCTTTTTTCTGGGCCTTGCACATCGCCACACTGCACACCGAACCATACTCATAACGTTTTTTTCTCAGCACAAATAAAAAATGAAAGCAGGTTTTGCTTTAGCTTATATATTTTGATTGTAATAATGTTTTTTAATTTGCAAATAAAATTTGCAGTCAGCTAATTAACGTGAGGCATTTAAAAATAGTGATCGCACTTTGTTTGACAGATATGTGGAAAGTGGTAGCTGCCAGCAGTCAGCATGGTCTGTGCTGGTAGACGCATTTAAATCTTCTGTCTCGCGAATGATCTGGTTGACTGACTCCTCTACTCACATTTTTAGCTGAAACTAGCAAGTTATTAAATACAGCGCAATAAAAAGTATTTTTTATGAAACAATATTCAGAATCCTAACGATTTTCGGTAGTGTCGAAAGCATTGCTGCAGGCCTGCAGCTGTATAATATACAGCGATCTACACCTGCTGCGAATGCGAGACGGAAACCACGTGACTAGCTTACCACGTGGTTTAATATGTGAATTGGTCAATTGCACTCAGTTTGCACTGTAATAGCATAGAAAGAATGCGTACCGCTACGCTCTAATTTATTTTTTGTTTGATCACGCTGTTGGTCTTTGCAGATAAATTTAGTTTTTCAAGCATCTTTTTTGCAACCTCTTTCACAAATATTTAACTTTTGAAATTAAACCCGAGAAATGTGCTAATAATAAAACGCATTGAATATTCAATAATAAATATTCACGGTTATGTAGTAATAAATTCGCACATAGCGATATATTAAATCATTAAATAATTAAATAATTAAATAAATAACCGATATAAGATCAAAAGAAACACATAGCCCGTAAAAGTCAGGAACCGAAAAAAGTGTCTGCAGCTCCATAGTTTAAGGAAGAAGGTCATTTGTACCCCAGAATATGATTATGTTCTTAATTCTTATTAGTTTGTTGCTCAGAAAGCATCAACCACATACAGGACCGATTCAGATATATTGAAAAACGATAAACGAAAAACGTCAATTCCAATCGAAACCGGTAATTAGAGACAGTGGAGCCGACTAGGTGTGTTTCTTCTCAATCCTATACTGATCATGCCTTGTCCATAGTTTGATGCCGGATTACGGTGGATACTGGTGTAGCAAATGTTATCGACAATGTATTGTAATTAAACGGTGCATCATACCGACAGACTCGCTAGTTTCCGTAAATATCCAAACCGTGTGTTTAATTTGCCCAAGACGAAACCAGGTGTTTGTATTGCAATTGTTCAATTGTTCTTCCGGGGAATATTGACCTTATGTCAAGTGTTAATCAATATTGTTAGATCAAGGCTTATAGCAAGAGAAAGTGCACAACATTATGGACGGCTAAAACCAATCTTCTTTTACTCATATTAGCGCCACTTATATCCTGCACGCACTAGACCAGTGCTTGTTCGCATGGAGTACTGCTGAGCATTGTGTTTTTGTGTACGTGAGCAGTGCTGGATAAGTATTACCAAAAAGAGTTTTTATTAATGCAATGATACAGCAGTAAATTGTGCGCCGCGTTTTTTCAACGGTTACATTGTTGACGATGGCTCCGTGCGCTTTCCAGAATCTTTTAATGGCCTAACAACATGATCTAATCTCCGTATTATGGACACCAAGGAAGTGTTAGTATGGAGCGTTACCGTGATGATTTTCATCGGCCTGGGAGAGGCCTTCCACCAGCTGAATATCATACTGGTTGCCGTTGGGCAGACGCCGGCATATGGTTACACGACCACGATTCCAGTGTACTTCGTAGCATTTGACCGTCTACGACAGCGATATCCTCACGTCTTTGCAAACATATCCACACACTCGCTGTATCTTCCGGGGAGTTTCACGTGTGCGGCTGCTGCTGACGTTATGATTCCGCTGGCCGGAAAGGTCGGCCAGATCCTCGCGGAACTCAACGGAGTGACTGTTATATTAACTCCGGGTAATTATTTTAAAATGATTATCCTTCTTCTATAAAGAAGTTACAGATAAAGCAAGATAGAAAAGATAGAAAGAAATTTAGATAGAAAAGACCAAAAGTAGATAGAAAAGATTTATTTAGATTTAGCTTTAAATTCAGAAGATAGATTTTGGATTGAAAAGACCAACCGTGTTTTGGTTTTTCATAAACCGGTAAATATTTTTCAGCCTGCAGTGCGGAAATGATGGTCCTTGGTGACTTCGCTAGAGGTTGGTACAGGACTGTTTCAGACCACAGAATCTGCAAGGACACCTCGGCTTCAAGCCTTTTATCTTTTTTACAGAGTGGAACGTTTTGACCATGTCAAGGTGTGCCAATAAATTATCCAGAAAATTTTGACGGTAGCTAGTTAACATTGCGCATCGACTTTCAGCACGGCTGGAGATCAAGCCTTAGCCAATAAAGTACGCTATCCAACGGTTGTGACGTGTGCGCCCCCGGACCATCCGTCCATCTCTCTAGCCGCTCAGATGTTTCTGCAACGCTACAAATGGCAGACGGTGGCATTCTTCTGTGATGATCTCAATCAGTATCCAGGCTTGGGATCCTTTTTCTACCTGTCCTGCCGCAACGTCAAAAAGTTGCTGGAAACCAGACTGGGCCAATTCAGTATTTACATGTATTCCTTCGATACACCGGCTTTCAGCGACTTTCCAAGCATTCTGACTGATGTGCAAAGCCGTTCAAGAGGTATAAAAATCAACAAGATGCAGTAAATGACAGAGTAACGTCAATCGGGATGGCTGTCATTTTTATGGCTCTTGTTTTGCAGTGGTCATCATTTTCAGTATTCCGAAAATTGTGAGACAGATCATGGTAAGAATTAGATTTGTCTACGTCGATCTTTCTTTGTCTGAAACTTGCCAATGCAATTTATGATCACTCTACGAAGATCAATGCTTCCATAATTTTGCAAATACAGAACATGGTGACGTGACACTGACGTCCATGGCCACAAATAAACTCGATATGGTATTTCTTTACCAGGCCTCTTATCTTTACCAGGTTAGCGTTCTCTTATTTTTTTCAGATAACAGCTTATCGTCTGAATATGACAAATGGCGATTATGTAAGTACTTCGCGCAACTCATAAAAACTGCGCCAACCACTCAGCTGGGGCACACCACATGCTTAGGTTTTACAGATCTTTTTGTCTTCTCGCATGGCGCGTGTGCCTGGTGAAGGAAAACAGACGTGGAAGTTTAATGACAGCGATGACCCCGTACGGTATCCTTTTCTTTAAGAAAATAACAAATGCGTCAGATCAGTAAATTACAGCGTTGTTAGGAATCTGTATAGATCGCTTTCCAAGCCTTCCGAAGTTTGATCTATTGGGAACATCCAGCTGCCCAATGGAATCAGATTATGGAGGTTATGGATGATGTTGCTGCGTATGCGCGGAGAGAATACAATCTGACTTTCACTTTAGATGATAAGGTAAGTTTAAGCAGTGCCCCGGTGCGTTAGCGTGTTGACGTCAAAATAACACAGATAATTTCGAATTTGTGGTTACCAAGTAATCAACTATATTGACCACATTGATTCTACTGCAACTGCAGTGCCTACATTAGACTACATAAGCGGCTAAGCCCAATGTTTGCAAAACAGACTGAATCAATTTAGATCAATTAATGGTAGGTTCACATTTTATTAACCAGTTTTCAATTTTCAGCTGAATGACTTTTCTGTGTCGGCTTACGAAATGACGTCAGCGCTTGCGATGGTAAAGCCAGAAGAACAACACCGCTCGTTTTGATATCAACCCATTATTTTTATCATTAACCGTGATGCGGTTGCTGCTTGAAAGGTGCTCAATGACAGCTACGATATTCCATCCGCACAACTCGGGGGACGAGAACTAGCCAAGCAGTTCTTTAACCGCAGCTTCAGCTTTCCTTGGCGTAATGTAACTATTGGTTCCAATGGAATGCGCTTAGGAGACGTTTGCTTCTATCGACTTAACCAAACCAGCGGAGAAATGGAGGTATGAATATTTCCATTCTATTGCACATCCGCTTGGACACCGTGCTAGAACAATGTTATTGTTCTGGTTCCGAACAGGAAGCATGGCACTTCTATGCAGCAACAAAAAGCTTGGTGAAAATTTCTCCCCTGGCCGACGTATGGCGCAGCTCATTTGGACCGCCACTCAATGAACCCTTGTGTGGATATCTGAATAATCTTTGTGATACATCTGGTAGGTGACCGTAGGTCTTAGATATGAATAATATTTAAACTGGACACGTGATTCTGTAGAAAATTTTTTATGCACCTCTGTGTGACAGTGTTATTTTACGTAGAGATGAATTGTAAGACGTTGTAGAAGGAAAACCATCGTTACAGGGTTTAATGCTTCATTTATCTGCTATCTGGTATATAGATTCAACGTGGATTATCGTTGCCGGAATCGTTACCGGGCTGGTGCTGCTGTTTGTTTTGTTTGTCGTAGCGGCATACAGGTATCCAATGAAAAGCATGGTCGTGTCATTTACCCAGGACATTATACTGCGTATAAACCAATTGTATTCGTAATTATTTATATATTCTGGGTAATTTAATTTAGATCGTATTTACGGAAAAAGGAATCGGATAATCCTTGGTGGTATCTACATTCGGATCATGCTGGTCACCAAGTAGTCAGCCAATATACGCTGGACGATGCCCAGTCTAGCGCTAAGCCCATGCCGTGGCTATCAAAGTTGTCGCTGTACCAGAATGAAATTGTTTGGACCGAATGTTTTCCCTGCCCACTTTCACCAAGTCAGATTTGCAACGTTCGATTGGCTCGACAGACGCTAAATTCGGTTTGTGTTAACTACCACTCTACAATAACTAATAATTATTAGGATTTGTACATAATGGATGGCTCAGCAAGATAGCTAGTTTTGGCGGAACGATGGCACTTCGGCATAATACTCGTGTAAACGCTTTAATAAAAACAAGTCTGCGAATGCCTGCACATATTGATGACTCTTAATTGAATCAACAGATGCGGAATTTGCAACATCCCAATATTGCTCGATTTTATGGAGTTAGCCGTGATGGTGCCAAGGTCTCGCTTTTGTATGAATATGGATCCAGAGGCAACTTGCGCCTGCTGCTCAGCGATGAAAGTCTTCCATTGGATATCGACCTGCAGATGGCATTGATTCGAGAAATGGCTTCGGTAGGGATTGATTTATCTTTTAAAGGTCAAACTGGAAAGGGCTTTTTTGTTTGCATCCAGCAAGTCATTCATATAATTGATTTACTTAGAGCCGTTATAGATTCATATACTGTGGTCATTCATTAGCTTTATAGATCGTCGTGATCATGCGCAGAGTCGCGACTACTTTGATCGATTTTTTTCTTCCACATAGGGACTGAAATATATTCACACTAGCCCACTGTATTTCCACGGCGCTCTTTCCAGCCTGACGGTTATGGTTGATAATCGTTTTGGGATTAAACTGTCCGACTACGGGATGACGAACGTGGTGTCTGGCTTAACGGATGTCCATTTAGGGGGCACAAATGATTGTCTGCAACTATGGATGGCACCAGAAATGGTCACCGATGACGAGTATCCTGGATGCAGAGAATCAGACATTTACAGTTTCGGTGTGGTAATGGCTGAAGTTTTCACCAGAAGAATGCCGTTAGATGTCTCGCTCAATGATCAATTAAGCATACAAGGTGATTTTTGCATACCCAGTAATGACATTACTTAATGCAGGCATTTTTCTCAAAAAATAATTTTTCGCCTGCGGATAAAAGTAAATAATAAATGATCAGTTCTATAGCTTTATTTTTTTAAACCAGCCGTTTTTGCAGACCGCTTGCACATGTTGAAAAAATCTCCAAGTACGCAACGAATTATTGTTACTCCCGAAGAGGTTCCGTCTTACGGTGAAAAACTTCTTCGAGATTGTTTTTTGGATAATTCCGATCATCGGCCCTCAATACGTGATTTGATACAAGTGTTAAATGGAAAAAACACCAGGAAACTGTCAGGATTAGGACGAACTGCGGCCAGCGTTGTGGATTGTATTATTTCTCGCTTGGAACGTTACTCATCAGAGTTAGAAAAACGAATCGCCGAACGGACGGTGGAGCTGGTTAGGGAGGAGGAAAAGGTTAACGAACTGTTGAGGGATATCTTGCCCGAGTAAGCAGCATGGACGTATGTTGCATAATTATTAACACAGTGGTTGCAGTCCAGTGCCTGGAAATTAAACAGCTTGTTACCTAAACTATAGCTTTCATTCAAAATACTAAATATGTTTGTAGGAGTATTGTTCGCAAACTGCGCAACAAGCTTCCCATGGAAGCCGAAGATTTCGATGACGCTAGCATTCTCTTTACGCATTTTCCGGAGTTTGCCCTGGTCTGCTCACAGTCCCAGCCGCTATTTATCATTCGTCTCTTACATCACATCTATACATTACTGGATGGTCTTATGGAACAGCACGATGTGTATAAAGTAGAAACTATCGGAGACTCCTACATGGTACGAGCGGTATCATAGACCAGTAACTGTTTATGACCTTGTGTATTATAACATTTTTTATTGGTAATGTGTATTGTTTCTTATGGCGTTGTCAATGTATTTTGCCGTTTGCCAATAACATTTTGGACGTCATCGTAACAGGAGTTGAACTGTTTCATGAAAACAGGTTGTCAGTGGTGTTCCCGTGCGCAACGGTGCGTACCGCCATGCTGGAGAAAGTGGTAACTTAGCTCTACGAATGCTGGCAGCAGTACAGCCAATGTCCTCGATGGTATTAACCGGCGTCGACTTCCAGCTCAGACTAGGAATGCACTCTGGTAAAACTCACTTGTGTAGTTTCTTGCTTGCATTTACGTTTTGTCTCTGGTGCTCCTGAACCGCACCGCAACCTTTTTAATTGACAGGCCCTTGCGCGGCTGGAATCGTTGGAAACCGAATGCCACGGTATTGTTTGTAAGTAGTGTTTCCCGTTTCCAAGTTCGTCGCTGTGTTGAAAATACAAGCGTGTCCGCATGTTTCACGCTGTTAATGCAGGTTTGGAGACACCATCAACACGGCAAGTCGAATGGAGAGCCATGGGGAAGGTACGTATTGCTATGACAGTGTGAATGGTGTACAAAATAATTACGCTTTGGATAACGGTCCAAATCGTATTCATTAAAGCTGAATCGGTAATCAGTTCTATGCTGCTTTCTATACGCTTTCTTATGAATTTGCACCTTAACCTACATAACCTTATTTTCAACCCCTTAACCCCTTAACCTTATTTGCACCTTTCTTAAGAATAACCTTTGCATATTTTCCCATTAGTTTGAATTTTTCTGGCGCGATTTCACAGGAGGAAAAATACATATCAGCCAAAGCAGCAACCAAATTCTTAACAAAATTGGAGGATACAAAACGGAGTCCAGAGGATTAATAGAAATAAAGGTACAATGTGATACGTATGCACATTATTACAGTACTATGGTACAGTGAATGTATTGTGTTGTGCGAGTATTGCTGCTGAATTCTGTTCATCATAAATTAATTTTTTTTGGTTTTTATCTCTCTCTTTCGCAGAGAATTATTGTTAATGTGCCACTGTACCGTAAGTTGAAGGTTACTATTAACATTCAGTGTACTTTGTTCTCTGCAGAGCAAAGGCAGGATCGAAACGTTTTGGCTACTATCAAAAAATTCGTGACTATCGACCAACCACAATATTATTAATATGTGCCGTTTGCCTGTGATATCTATGCCTTCCTTAGTCCGCACGCCCATTTTACGCCATTTGTATAGGAATGGTTTACACTAGTAATACTTTTGTGATAAAGATTTTTGTTGAAACTATTGACATCGAAACTGAATAAATTAATTACAACAAAGGTAGTTCACGTGTTGGTACGTAGTTCAAGGGAGTGCGCTTATCATAATTACGTAATCTAATTAAAATAAACTGCAATTACAGTAAACTGCCGTAATTAAAATAAAATGCGCTTTCTGAACAAATGTGGAATCTCGCTACCGCTGGTTATGTAAAATCGAGATATACCTGACAAGGCACTTTTCTACGCGAGACGCTACGAAAATTTTTGGAATCTGCATTTTAACCACTTTGGCACTTGGTGTCCCGTTTATCTTCTTGGCTGCACCTGCAGGATTCAACCAATGAACGTGGATAATAGTAAAATTTATAAAGTTCTGCAAAATTTTACGTCAAGCGGTCGAAGAACCTCTCCACGGTGTAACCTGTGTCTGATACTCTGATTATTGTGTACAAAGTTTTGATGTGAGAATCAATAAAATTCTTTTGAACCATGCAAACATACTGTATTAACCGCAAGGATCAGCATAATGAGAAGCGATGACATTGCTTTTCATAAGCAATTAATAATGTCCATATGGTTTTGTGGTCTGACACAGGAGTCAGGAAGTAATTGTTTCTGCTGCTGAATATAGTATTTCTTGTCAGTTACAGATTTGAGTGGCCGTCGCGAGTAAAATTTGCTTAATATTGCGGTTTGCAGCTAAATGACTTGACTTTGGTATTTGTGAACTGTTTTCGAAACAGCGAACTAGAGTGCAATTATGCAAACCCTATTTAAACTAAACAAATTATTTTAAACTTTAAAATTTAAGGTCATCATCGTACAATCCCACCCTTGTATCTGTATTGCTAACTCATTGCCGTTGCTCTAGGTGTGCGAGAGGAATGAATGAATAGTAAGAGAGGAATGTTCATTCATTCCTCTCGCACACCTAGAGCAACGGCAATGGCTAACTTTAGCGGTCTGCATGTACTGGTATTAGAGTACTTGTAAAGCTACATAGTACATACCATACGAGTACTGTATGTCTTGCGGCTTTTGCCCAAGTAAACATAGTATTACTAATTACAAAGTATAATTTCTGTATGCCCTTATTTGAAAAGTAATTATGAATAGACTGACAATAGGTAATATTGACAAGGCGAAAGTTCAATAATTATGGAAACTTTCAGGCTATATGTACGAGGTGGTATGCGCAATAATTATACAGATAGTGTCGGATACTGATTACAGAACAAAAAACGAAGATGAAACGGTACAATGCTGCCGAAATTCAAGCTTGTTAAATTTAAGATTTATAAGGGATTTAGGATTTTAAGGTTTAAATACTTAAATTTTTAAACATTCGGCTATTGTTGCACGTACAATATTTTTAAATCGTTCACCAAACGGATTATGGTACGACAAATTACTGTCGGGGTTTGTCTCTGCTGTAAAATCTCCGTATTTACTGTTTATTACTAAACGCACACGGTACTTTTCTGTGGATTACGATAATTTTTTTGATACCACAGCACATAACTTTCATAATTCTCATAGAACTCTGCCACTTGAATACCCATATTAGTTTACCCTTTTAGCTTTCCATATCTACCTCATGTACGCACTTGAAAACAACGGTTCCAAACTTGAAAATAGGCTGAAATAATTATCAGAATGTCCACGTGCATATTGCACCGATTACACGTGTGTTTTTTATGGCGGTACTGGTTATACATAAGCTGCAGTACTTCTATTTTCAAACTCATAAATACCCAGAACAAAAAAACACCCGTATTGGTTCGTTCATGAAACATCCGGTTGTGGAGGATTAATTTGAGTTAAACTGACCCGCGTAAAATTTTTCATAGGTTATATTAAAAAATAGCTATACAAATAATAAAGTGTTTTTGGAGAAATAACTGGGATGGATTTCGATGTTATCCTGCGTGACGTGGGAGAATTTGGACGATACCAGATACTGTTATTAATCTTCGTTATTATACCGGCATGCGTCCCAGGGGGAATGCATAGCTTTTCCCAGGTTGGTTATACTGTTATTACAGTAACAGCGTCACTTATCAGTTTATAATGTTAAAAATTGTCAAATACTTACTTGTTCTAAAATTTGGGTTTCTGTCAGTTGTTCTTAGTGGCCACACCGAAGCACTCCTGCCACATCCCCATCAACAGTACGCAATTCAACTCTTCTCTGTTTATTCCGCGTGGAGCAAAACCCAGCGATATCGACGCCCAGTGCCTAATGTACGATTTGGATTATACAAACGACACCATGCTAACGTCATTCACACCGACTTACGATACACCGATCTCCCCGTGCAGATACGGATGGGATTATGACCGCTCCATGTACCGGTCAACGGTAGTAACGCAATGGAACCTCGTGTGCTCGCATAAACTGCTCCCCACTTTCTCTTTAACAGTACATACTTTCGGTAGTTTAACCGGCTCGTTGTTACTGGGATACGTCGGTGACCGGTTCGGTCGTAAACCCGCCTATTATATTGCCGTGACCCTTCAGCTACTCAGCGGTGTGGGGACGGTTTTCGCGCCCAATTTTGTGGTCTTTTGCATTATCCGTTTCATCAATGGATTAACCACAATCCCGGTGTGGATATTCCCGTTAATCATGGCGCTGGAACTGATCGGTCCCAATAAACGTGCCCCCGTGGGAACGACCATGTCGCTGATTAACACCTTAGCGGTTTTGGGTTTGGGTGGTATTGCCTATGCCATTCGCGACTGGATGTCCCTACAACTGACCGTAACTTTGTCATTTTCGTTTTTGATATTCTGGTGGTGGCTGTTACCAGAATCGCCACGCTGGCTGATGGCAGAAGGTCGTTTCGAAGACATGTTGAAAATTGTGAAGAAAATAGCCCGATTGAATCGAGTCGAACTGACCGAAGAGCAAATCGAAACATGGCGGGATACTTATTTTAAAAGTACCGGGAAAGTCGATTTAACTGCGGCGCGCTACAGCCCGTTAGATTTATTTCGCACGCCGAATCTCCGGATGAAGACCATCCTGATGGTGTTCAATTCGTTCAGCAACAACCTCGTCTACAACGGTCTGAATTTCTTCGTTCCTCAACTTGGCGACAACGAACACGTCAGTTTTCTGTTGAGTTCCGTTGTGGAAGTGCCATCATACTTCATTCTGTACTTCACCCTGGATCGTTTTGGCCGTAAAGTCACCATTATGTCGACCATGCTGATTGGTGGAATATTTAGTCTGCTGGCAGCGGCCACGGCCACATTGCCAACAACCATGATGGTGTTGGTTCTCGCTGCCAAATTCTGCATCAACCTATCTTTTTTTATCGTGGATTTAATGGTATCCGAATTAATTCCCACTGTGGTGCGAGGGGAAGGTGCCACGTTAACCCAGACCGTATCAGCTATTGGGCTGTGTATTAGCCCGGCCATTATGTACTGGGGGAACCAGAATGAAATGGGTCCATTAATTCTGTTTGGTGTCCTTGCGCTGGCTGGTGCGGGGGCTATTCTGCGATTACCAGAGACGGCTAATACGAAACTGCCGGATACCCTTGAAGAAGGAGAAGAGTTTGGGAAACATGCGCGATGGATTAACGTAATACCGCGATGTTGTCGGAAATCCTGTGATGGAGATACGGAGACAGAAAGCGGTTCGGATTCGGGGCCAGAAAAGGCTATCTTGTTATCTAAACTGCCGTAGCGGCATTTTGTCATTACAGCCAACAAATATAAATATTACACATTAACTTGCTCCTTAATCGCTACTATGTAGCGTTTTTGGCGGGTAATCGAAGCCTATACATATCTGACAAACGATCTTTCTATGTGCAGCTGCTAATAAATCGCTCTGTTTAGTTATCGCGCTTATTATTAATAGGAACTTTTTTAATTGGCTCTCCAACACCTCCATTTATAAATATCGCTCATGGAAGCTGTTTGTGACGCAATGAAGTGCTTCGAGAAGTACTGTACATTAATTCGTCATGGTTGCGTCAATTTTCGCTGATAATTAGAAAGGAAATATACATATATGCCAGCGCCAAACTTGATGGGTAACCTGATTAATTCATGCATCAGAGAATTCCGTTAGAATTTTCAAGTACTTAATAAAATGCATAAGACCCGAGGCGCCTATTAACCACGAAGCACTCTTCTTACTAACCTGTATGGAAGGGGATATTCTTGGTCTGGAAGTTCCTGTAAGGGTGTTAATGTTGGGCAACTGTTACTTACTTACATCTGTAAAGCTAGACTTCAACGATAACAACTACAGAATAATCCTGGGGTCCCTGTTTTAGACTGTGAAAGAAGCAGCAAATGCTATCAACGAAGCCTGCTCGTTTTGGCCTAACAATATACAATGGAATTCAAAAAGGTGTTACAAAACCCACCCACCCACAAAACGCGCGCAACCAGGAACTTACCTGTACTCAAACACCCAACTTCCGTGCTGGCCATCGGCCTGCTGATATTATCACTTGCAACTTGCACATTTCCCAACGAAAACTGTCAGCGATATCTCAAACGAAAGAGAAAAAATTATAAGAATTTTGATACCAGACAAGTTGTATTTTATGGAGTCCAAGAGAAAATCGAGGCACTTAAAGTTTCTCGTAGACAAAGCATACTTTTTCTGCGTGAAAACTGAAACTCAACCGTGGATTCAAATTCTATGCTTTGTCTACGAGAAACTTTGAGTGCCTCGATTTTCTTTTAGATCGCATAAAAAACAGCTTGTTTGGTATCAAAATTCTTGTAATTGTTTTTTCTTTCGTTTGAGGTATCGGTGGATGGTTTGCGTTCGGAACTGTGCGCGGCGCAAGTGTTTGAATTCAGCATGAGTCTGTGCTCAGTTGCATGTTTGCAGTTTATTGGTCATTTTATTGGTCATTTGGTCTTGACTAATGAATTGTCGGTCGCGGACCGAATGTATCACCTTTTTGAAGTCCACTGTAATACCTTTAAACCTTATGTATTCAGTGTTCACACGGAAACAGTTTGCTTCCTTCAGTAAAACCACTTCTCGGCACTTCGTTGACTAAGTAGACAAATAAAATCGTATTCCTAAATTTTTAATAACTATGTATCATGTACGGTAATCGGTAATCCTGCTGCGCTTCGATCTTGTATGTGGTGTCCGCAAAAGCGTGTGTATTGTTTTAGTAACAATTTGTTTTGTTTGTTTGCTTGTCTAATGAGCTGTATTCATGGTTTATTACGTAGAGTTACGTACTGTCACAGACTCCGTCTTGCGTTGTGCGTTTTGCTGCAGTGCTTGCATCTGTTGTTGATGCCGCACGACTGGCTCAAATAATGTGGTTACCATGCCGAACCCAAATCCCATGCAAAATAAACTACGCCCCGAAGACGCTGTGGAGCTACCAGTGATTGGCGATGATCTGAGCCTGTCATGCCGGGTGGGGGATCCTCTGGTGTCATTGTTGGGTGACATTGTTTGGACGCAAAGAAAGCCGTTCGTAGTAGCGCATTATCTGTACAACGGTCAGGGATACGTTGGGCCGGCATCGGCATGCGAAGTCACGGTAACAAGCTGGACATCAATAATATCACGTATAATAGCACGGGAACATACACCTGCTATCAACGCTGCCCAGAGACATATCTCTGTCCGGTGCGCTCATCCGCGCTGCTTCCCCAACCGCGGGACATCCGTGATATCTTTAAAAAACCCATGGATATCACGTTAATGTATCCACACCGGCAATTCTCCGCCACGTGCTGGCTGCAATTCGAATGCTCACCGGATGGTGATGCGTACTTCATCTGGAAGTACAGAGGAGTATTTATATCGTTGCCGACTATGTATTTTCTGCAAAAGATTGGCTATTTAATTGACCATCCATTTATGCGCGTTTCCCGGTCGTACTATCAGGGGGGGGACCCAATGATCCACCGTACTGTGCCCATACGATCACCGTATTCTGGTCAGAGCCACACTCTGGTGGACCAATCGAGTGTTGGGCGCGGTCGGACACCACCCAGGAGAAATGGTTTATTCAACGAGGAATTGTGGCGTTATAATGCAAAACAATAATAATTATTATTATAGCTATAGGCTAAGAGTGTAATACTCCTCCAAGAGCGTTACGGATGTCTAACATTTAACGTCACGTTGTAGTTTTGCATTTTGTACTGAATTATGGTGGTCGAATGGTGCGATTATTTTGTTAGCGTTTTAATTCTTCGCATTTATCGTACATTTTCTTTTTTTAAATCTTGTGTTACTGGTTCCTTCTACAACGGCATCGTATCGGCTTTTGGAATCGAGATGACCTTGTACCGACATCTTGTTGATTAATAATTCCGAACAGCACTAACATTTTCAGTTAAAGCTACGAGAAAGCCAGAGGAATCGTCGAGAACAGCATAAAAAGTACTTAAAAAACTCACCACTATGAGGAAAAAACAAATGGGACTGCAATGTCCGTCAAAAACAATGGGCTGATCCACTTCATTTTATAAAAAAAACTTTTTCCAAGTCTCCACTCAGTCATCCCGCATTGACTCTTCTGTGGGACCGGAGATTTGCGGCCCGGCTGGCTTGTTCACATCGGAAGCTTGCTTAGCACCGCTGACAATATCATCGATGCGCAGTAATAAAATCGCCGTTTAGAAACAACAGAACACTGGGTTATTTCAATTTTCCTGGGGGCTGCGGGTGAGTTGTTACACACCCGCAACAGCTTCGAAGTTTGAACACAATCGGTCGTTACTGAGATAGAATGTGATACTTGCTGATCTGATATCGAGTGCTGAGTGATCCGATAGCTGCACCGTAAATTATAAGTGATCCAATGACGGATCAAATCGAAGTACTGTTAATAATGGACATATGCGTTAGTGTTGATTAGCCTATGTGCACTTGTATTCAGTAAATTATTATGAGTTCGATAAGGTTCGCGGGTTTTTTATTACGCCGAATATGTGTTACGCCTGTGATACTGTGCACTAGGTTGCATTGGATTTAGAAGGGTCATAACAGAAGCATCAATCGCTGATGTCTCAAGACAAGATCAAGAAGTTCTGAAAAGCAAAGTATACAATAACTTTTGTGTTTGTGCCAGGTTTACAAATTTAAAGATAACGGGCATCGATCGATTCGTCAACTGTCGTTGTCGTAAACGCGCTTGGCGGCTACTTTACATTATTCGTTTCCATCTGGCTAGGGAACGCTGCAGATACACGGCTGCAACGCTTCCTTCTCCTGCTCGTTTGGTACCAGTCTCCCTCGTATGCGGAGTAGTGCTGTTTTGACGTCTTCTGCCAGTGGTCGCTGTTTACTGTGCACATTGAGACAGTGTTGAACAAGGTCTCCGAAGTCTGGCGAAATTTTCTCGTTGACAACTGGAACGTAGCCATCAATGATCTTGGTGGCAAACATGCTGGGCGTGGTGGTATCCTGCACTTCATAATACTCCAGAGCGGATGTCTCCACATCGGTTCGAACAAGGAGTTTTTCTCTGATACCAAAGCAGTGGTTCAATAAGTCTATAAGAATACATCCAAAGCTCCAGATGTCGGTCATTCGTCCCGGGGTTTGCGGGAGCTTCTCGTCCACGAGACCAAACTTTTTCAGCATTTCCGGTGACATGTAGCGGATACTGGCTTTCAAAGTAGCAATGTCGTGAGGCTTGGTGGAGCCTTGCTGCATCACCACCAGATCATCCAGATCGCTGATTACTAAATGATCATGATTGTGTTGGCGACGCTTGACCAGCACGTTACTTGGCTTCAGATCACCGTGGATTGTGCGATTCTGGTGGAGAAATGCTAATGCATCAGATATCTGCACTGCATGGCACACAACCGTTTTTTCTTTCAGCAATTTCTTACTCTTTTCCCTGTTGTCTAGCAGCACCCTTAGAGTATCATCTAAAAATCCACAAAAACGTACCGACGTACTTCCGCTATACCTTGCAGCATTTAAAATATTATCGGAAACATTCATCTAAAAGAGATACCTTTGTAATAATCCATCAGAAACTCTATGGTGATGCCGCCCACCGCGGTGATAAGCGATACTTTATGATACTGAACCAGATGGTCGTGCTTCAGTTCGTACAGCACTTTTTTCCATCGTTCGATTAAATCTGATCGCTTCTTCGGGTCGGTGAGCAAATCGGTATCTTTATCCAAATTTATAATTTTCACGGCAAGTCCACTTTTTCCGATTAATTCATTACTGAGATTCGTGAGTTTTGCTTTGTAAACTCGGCCGAACGAACCCATACCAATTAAATCCTTGGCAGAATAGTCATATTCACAATCGCTCCCGAATGATTCGACCACACTTGTCTCCATATTTTATTCCTGTTAAGTGCTCGTTATTTAGGTCAATTACAGACTTGTATTTTTTAAGGCAGTTTCACAATTGGTACTGAACGTTTGAAACAAAATTTAAGTCCTACTCTAGTACAAATGCGCTAATAACGGACTTTATTTCTTTGCTGCGCAGCGCAGCATTTATCTGAGTAATAATTACTCGTCGTTCTGTGTATATTGACCGTGCAAACATTTTTCGATAAGACTATCATTACTTGCAGCTTGTGTGTAAAGTTTCACTTTGTCTCGTCACATTGCTTCGGCTTTATGTGCAAAGGGCGCAGTGTGACTGATGTACTCGTAATAATAATAATGTTCGATGGGTACGTAAGAATGTGGACAAGTCATGCAGTAACTAAACAAATTCGAGGCGAGGTATACTGTACGTATTGAAACGCAGTACGCGAGAAATTTTTGCATGCTTGTTCTTCAGTCGGTACGACGGCAACATACGCTACTTTTAATTTTTCACACCGAAGTGTAACCTGAAAATGCTTAAAGCACTTGCGCCGGTACATCTGGACGGTTGTTTGTTTCAGGTTACTGCTTACATTGTTACAGGTACAGTATAATTATAGTTTACACTATACAGGTACTGAGGTACATACAGGTATAAACGTACTACTGCAATACAGTACTAAACCCGTAATTTTTCGGTTTCAAGTGGCTTTGTGTTCAAGCTTCAAACAACTGCTCTCGTACCTTAATAATTGCATACAGTATGATGTGTTTACAGGTTAGTCCCTGTGCTATATACTGCATACGTATTGGCCAGCAGCTATGTACACTGTACAGTACGGTGATCAAAACGATACACTTAAAAAAATCTGCTTACAACAAGTTAAAAAATGCAAATTGTGCACAATTATCGCGAAAACGCCACGGGTTGAACAAGAATAGTCAATATCATGAGTTAACTGCTCAAACATCTGAGATCGTAAATTGCGTTTTTATTAGCGTTTGTTATGAAACCGTACCCATGTCAATACAGATTATTATTATTTTTTGTAAAATTTATTAAGTGTCAGTACTTGGAACGCTGCGATGAATAAAACTTTCACCCCCAATAGACAAAATTAAAATTGTTCTGTATGGCTGAGCAGGTCGATGAATATATTAATATCCCTCTTATAAATCCCAATGACTCCAGTAATGAGTCTGGCGATGAAGATTCCTATAACGCTGCCAGTTCAACAAGGGTTACCGCTGACAAGAAGAAAAGTGTGAGGATACATAACGGATCTTCAGTTCGGCGAGACAAGTCGCCTCCTTTAACCGATGTGCAAATAGCCGTTGCGGATTCGAGCAGTCCTTGCTGTCGAAACAGTTTCTTACACAATAACTGGATCTCAGGTAAAATAATTACGCTAAACACTAACGATTTCGGAAGCCGTCATAACGTGAAAATTTATTGGCCGTGTGGTAGAACGTTTGAGAACGTTACGTTGTTAGCCGTGTGTGTTACGTTTAAGAATATTTTCCCATGGTGCTGTATGCTCACATTTCTCTATACCGACTTGAATTGAAAACTTCAAAATTTTTTCAGTATTTCTATTGTCTACAATACTAGCATGGATTGTGTGGATGGGCGCCAGGGAATTATTCAAACACTGGGAAAATGTTGCCGATTTGCCGGCAATTAAACCGGCGCTTGCTCATTGTCCACAGTTGGAGGACGGAAGAAATATCGATCCAGTGAGTTGTGGCAATCCAAAAATTTTATAATTTGATGCGATTTACTATATTAATATATTCCCGGACAGATATTAATCGCCATCAACCGTGGAGGACGTGATCATCTCCTCGACCTGCAGGACTGCTCATTAGACATTTCTCACAAATTAACGATTCGACGGTTGACCCTGCGTGCCCAACAAAAACAAAATCGTATATCGAATTACACGATTCCTTATTCGAAACACCTAAAAACACACTCCTACTTAGTACCAAAATTATTGGAGTCACGCCCGGCCAAAGGACTGGGAAACTGGATGTTTGCACTGGCCGCGGTTTATGGCATCGCTAGACAGCATCAATGGCAATGGAATCCCGCATTTCCCGGCAGTTCTCAAGGTATCCCCTTAGTCCACGAGCGGAAGCATTATTTCCGAGAATTTTCTATAGAAACGGCAGAAAATTCAACAGTCTATCAGGAATTAAAAACCAAGGGATTCGCAATGTATGATCCCATTGTGACAAAAATTAATACTTTATATCACAACGTGAGCATCAGTTTGGATGGATATCTACAGGCCTATCGATATTTCGATCTCTACCGTGAAGATATTAAACAGCTGTTTTTGTTTAATGTGGAAATCTTTTTCACTGCGATTTCTCTAATTAGCAATCTGTTGGACGATTACCTAAAACGAACACCGTCTACAAAAAACTGGAAGAACTTGCCGAATCTTGTTGGGATCCATGTGCGACGGGGAGATATACTGGAGGAGCGATATCGCGCGGAAGGTCATGAACCGGCAACCGAGGCGTATCTGCTGCGTGCCACGCTGCATATGGAAATGGCTTACGCGCCGGCATTATTTATCATAGTAACCAATGATGTCATCTACTGTCGGAAGGTTTTCAAAGGGGACAGTTTCTTGTTTGTCGAGCATCAGACAGAGGATGTCGATATGGCCATGCTGACGCTAATGGACTATATTGTTCTCAGTGTGGGCAGCTTCGGTTGGTGGGCGGCGTATTTAAGTGACGCTCGCGAAGTTTATTACTACAAATACTGGCCACGAAACGGTACACAAATGCACAAAGAATTAGTTCCTGAGGATTATTTTTTGCAAAGCTGGACAGCCTTCGAATAAATTTGTGCGTTATCTTCGTATTCCGTTGATGGAAAATCTTGGTAAAGTACTTAACAGCGTGGAGAATAAAACAGTAACAAATCCACCACGATAACCAAAGCTGCCGTAGAAGCATTGTGGCTTATATGAAGTGTATACAACCGTTCTTGTATTATTCCTGCTGTATACTGCGTTATATTTATACGACATTTGAAAGTTCCGTTAATTCATAACTAATGCGTTGCGTTGTTAGAAGCAGTAGCACTGGACGCCGAATCTTTGTTAGACGAAATTTCATGGACTACCAATAAATAGGTCGCCAGCAAACCGATAATCTGAAACATAAAAGTTTTTTCACAGCCGCCTAAAGACGGTCAAGATTCACGTATATAAAAAAGCAGTTCAACTGGTTTCTAGGTTTTGTCCTATGATTTGATCTGCTCTTATTTTATGAATAAAACAGTTGATCATTTTACTGATGCTAAAAAGCTTCAGCCGAGTAAGTCCAGTAACGGCTGGGATTTTGTTGTTTTAAGAATCACATGTGTACCGTGAAAATGAAGTTGGTATCCAGAACAACCAAACTCCATCCAGTAAATGCCACGGGTGAATCACTGAGACGTTGAAGGGTGACACTCAACTGTTTTCGTATCCTTCCATTTGAATGGAGTTTTTCCATTATTGTGTAAAAGATCGGCACAATGTTATGCGCCTGTACAGAGTAGGTTGTTAACATGACATTATAATGATATCCCTGCAACACTTGCATGGCAATGTACTGTAAATTTAAAATACGTGAATTATTTACTGTAACGTGTAAGGATGAATAGCTCTAGAAGTCGAGAACAATGGCGTGTAAAGACTTGGAATGAAATCGTACTTTTATTTTGACGAAACTAGCTGCTACGAGACAAATGAACACGAGCGCCACATTGGAAGCTCCTTCGAAAACCACCGACAAAAAGTCGGCCATTGTGGGCTTTATGAAGAATCCCAGTGGAACAGTTAATCGGCCTTGTGTGACGTGGCCAACCATCAGCACGATTTCCACAGTGCAGCAGCAAATAAAGAGAAATATTCCCGGGGCAAAAACGTCATCGAGCCGACAAACAATAGTGGAGAGTCTGTGATGGATCAATCGCAACTTTTCCAATTCTTCTGCAAACTGTGTAGGTGTTATGGAGTTGCTCTCGAGGTAGCCATAAATATTTGTGACCTGGCGAACTACTTTGTCGAAAGTGCAGCCAATGATGACGCCTAGCGATGCATAAATAACGGCCAAAGTAAAGAGTGGCATCGTGCCGCTTAGTACTGGAATGAGTTGGAAGCAGGTAATGGCCCACACTGTAGCAAGTTTTATTCCGAAAATATCGGATACAGTAGGAGACCAAATAGCGCTATGCAGATGGGAATACGCCCAAAGCAGTATGACAATAACGCAGCAACAGGCTTGGCAGTGCAGCGTTCGCATTACATACGTGTAAATGTGGGGCGCGATTGGGTATTCTTTACAGATCAACTTCAGGTCTTCAACAGCATCATGCAAAGATCGCGATGCGGGAATACACACCACAATTAGCAGTACCGCAAATATTTCAAAGTCGAAAATCATGGCGGCTGCCAGAGCCAGCCTGGGTATATCGTCTGCCGAGGTGACCGTGCGTATAGTCTGATACGTTACTGCGCTTATGGCCACCAAACCGATTGCGGAAGCCACGATCCACACTGCAGCCGCCATTGTCCCCCAGATGGACAGTTTTCTCTCACCCATTTGATGATGCCAGACCTGCAGTCCACCCAAACGCAACAAAGCCATTAGTCTGTTGGAAACATGGTCAAATGTAAATACACGTTGATCGACTGTCATTTTCAGAGCGTCAAAAATCAAAAAAACATAAACCAGACAATGCAGTATTAAACATAAACCTGACAGACCAGAAACCAGTATTTAAATATGTTCTAAGAAAAACTGTCTAGTTCATCACCAAGCATCAACTGTTCGACAAAAAACCAATCAGCTAATCGCTTATCGACCGCTTAACTTTAAGATAGTGACCTACGCTGTGTGCTCACGTTATTATGGGAATGCAACGCGCACAGAAGTCGATCTGCTGTTTGAAATTTTACTGACGAGAGAAAGGGGATTCAGCATGCTAAACGGTTGAGACATGTACAATACGCATCATCCAGGTAAAGGTTTACAGTAATGTATGCATTGAGAACCCTTGAAACTGCTGCGGCTTACATATTTATTCATTTTTATGCAGACACTGGGAACTAAAGCCCCATTTGTGATCCCGCTTCGCTTGACAGGTTTTATTTGTATAAGCTCTGCAAATGCCTTTATATTATGAGTGTGGGCAGCAACTGCAAGTCCCGTTTATCAAGAAGCAGTTTATTGCACTAGGAAAACCAGCTTTGGATGTCGAGTCGTTACGAGAGGTAATTTCGTGGGCTACCAACAAATACGTCACCAGCAAGCCGATAATCTGCAAACAGATGCTTAGCCGTCCAAAAGAAACTTCATTGCCAATTTTCGGTTATGTCATTCGAATACAATTGAGAATTCTACAGATTCGTTCTACTCGTTATTCTTTTGAACCTTTGCTAAGTGAAGTAGAAACTACGCACCGTGAAAATAAAGTTGGTATCCAAATTTACCAGACTCCATCCAGTAAATGCCACAGGAGAATCATTGAGACGGTGTAGCGTGACACTTAACTGTTTGTGAATTTTTTCGTTTCCATGAAATTTCTCCAGGATAATGTACAATACCGGCACAACGCTGTGCGCCTATAAATAGATAATAACTCACATCGTAGCATGTAAATGTTTTGTTTCATAATTGTTTGCATAAAGGTGTTCGACTTATTTTTATTTTGACGAAACTCGCAGCTATGAGACAGATGAACAGAAGCCCCGCGTTGGAACCTGCTGACACAACAGACGACCAGAAGTCTTCCGTGGATGGTTTTAAGAAAAATCCCAGCGGAACTGTCGGTTGACCTTCCGCAACGTAGCCAATCATGAGCACAACTTCCGCCGTGCAGCAACAAAGCAGGAGAAAAATCCCCGGGGCAAAAACGTCATCAAAACGACAAACACTGGTGGATAGTCTCAGATGCACCAAGCGTAACCTTTCCAAATCTTGGGCGAACTGTACCATTGTGAAGGAGCTGTTGTCCAGATTGTCGCAAACACACCTGACTTCCCTAGCCACTTTATCAAATGCGCAGCCAATCATAACGCACAGCGATGCATAGAAAGCAAATAATGCGTAAGTGGGGATTATAGCACTTAGCAGAGGAATCACCTGGAAGCATGTACTAGCCCACACCGTAAGAATTTGTAGTCCAAAAACACAAGATGTAGAGGGAGACGAAATGACGCCATGTAAATGAGAATATGCCCAAAGCATTAAAAGAATAATAGCACATGAGCAGTGGCAAAAAAGTATTTGTAATATATACTTGTAAATATTGGTCGCGATTGGGTACTCTTTCAAAATCAACTTCAGCTCTTCAACGGCATCATGCAGAGAACGCGATGTGGAAATGCACACCACAATCAGCAGTACCGCATATATTTCAAAACTGAAGATCATGGCGGCAGCCAGTGCCAACCTTGCCATATCATCTGCCGAAGGGACCGTGCGGATAGTTTGATAGGTCACATCACTGATGACAGTCAAACCAGTCGCGATAGCCGCGAGCCACAATCCAGCGAAAACGATTCCCCAAGTTGACACTTTTCTCTCACACAACTGATGATACCACACATGTAGTCCTCCAAATCGTAACAAGACCATTAATTTGCTGGCGACGTTTTCAAACGAGTACGAAAACAAATCAACCGCCATCTTTACTAGTATAAGGTACGGAGATTGTATTGCTTAGGTTTTGAACAATTTTTTAAACAATGACAGGTTAGTCCTTCCAAGCTTATGGCACGAAGGACTTTCCTGATCGTTTGCCCAGCACGTACGTAATCGACACGTTTAGACTGTTTGTTCGCGGCGACTTGGGAATTCAACGCAATAGAGCAGGGCAGCTGCTCCGTTTCAACGTTTTAAATAGAAAAAAGGATTGTTCTTGTGCGAAATCAAAAAGATTCGTAACTACTTTCGGATAACCTGTATTGCGTACTCCGTGTGGTACGAAATTTGTGGCACATAGATTTGATTTCGATACAAAATTAAAGTCCTGAATACGCAGAATACGAATTATTTATCATTTATCATTCATCATGCGGGATTCTGCATTTTCATAGAACTTTGCCCTTTTTTGTAATTACAGTCTAGGCAGCTTTGATGTGGTGTTTTATGGCATGCCTGATTAACATCACAAAACAATTACAGAATCTCTATAAATGCAGATCTGTGCAGATATTGTGGGTCGTGTACATAACCGGAACTTGTAGACCACGCTTGCTCAGCAGATACAGTTTGGGTCTAACGAAGCATTGTCAGCACTGTTGGCGATACTCTAATTTTGGGTTGTTTCGTTCAGTTTCTTTGCGCAGATAATTGCAGCGTATTTTTTGTGAATGATTTGTTAATAATAAGGAGCTAATATTAACGTTTCGCGGGCGTTTAGATGGTAATATCACATATCGTTATGTGGCATTTGTAGCTAATACCACGCATTACGCAGCTCGGACTTCCGCCTTAGAGAATACACCACTTTAGTTCACTTTCTGGTGGTTTACTCTAATTAATGGCTTGCACTAATGGCACAATTCGACAATAATTCTGGGTTCCCGTAGCGTGTTACCTCACATGCGAATCCTATTGGTAGAAATCACCAAACCGCAGACAAATGCCGCGTAAGATCAAACAAAATAGCATAGACTAGTATCCCACATGGTGAAGACGAACAACCCACCATCAAAATTTCGCGTGAAGTCGTTGCGCAATTCTTGTTCGTAGCAGTTAATTGTCCATGGCAAAGTTGGGCGAAATTAGGTTAATTAGCACCTTAGGTCGCTTGTTTGTACCCGAGAATTTTAGAACGATCGAGTTTCGTAAAAAAGCGGAAAAACAAATCGATAAATCCTGATAATTAGTTTTGTAAGAGCGAGTGTTCATTAACTAATAACAAATACAGTAGTACCACATAACAAACCATGAAAAAAACTATATAAAATGCATTGTTTTACGCAGGCTTTATTGTGTCGAAAACATATTAGGGTATAACTTGTTTTGGTAGCCTGTGTAATTGCAGCCACATCAGGAACAATGTCGTGGCTAGTGAGTTTCGTATCTATGATAACGACCTTCCTTTTGTATACTGGACTCACTTCCGGTCAGGGTTATGGAGGTTATGGATCAAGTTTCGCACAAAGCTGCTCCACCGCATGTTCCGTTTCGTATCCACCCGTTAACGCTTCGGACTGCTTTATGTTACTAATTGATTACCAGTCCGGCACCTTATATTTTGTTCGTAATGTTCCTCGCGCACAGGTGTGTTTTTTGCGGTTGAAAGAGTGACCCTTTTTTGCTTTAGAGAAACAAGGTCGAAATTTGCGTTGGTATCTGGGTACTACTCGTATTTATACTACGCATGAGAAACGGTGTAGCACTCTTGTCGTTGTAGTTTTCCACACCTTGCGTTTTTAGATTTAACCGTTATAATTGATAACCTTTAATAATGCTGTGATATGGCGCAGGTATTAGGTAACATGAAATACTTGGCTCTGCTCGCCAAAATACTTAACATACCAACGGTCATGACCACCAGTTTGGAAGACCAATTCGACGGACCCGTTGTGACTGATCTGCAGCAGATTTTGCCGGACTCTTACGCCAGTCGTATTCCCCGCCATGGCACCATCAACCCTTGGGAGGAACCGGCTTTTAAAGCGGCCGCCATTAAAGCAGCTGGTGGACGAAAGACGGCCATCATTGCCGGTCTGACCAACGATGTCTGCGTGGTTAACCCGGCCATCTCCATTAAACAGGACGGGTTTAACGTGATAGCAGTGCAGGATGCCAGTGGTAGTCCCAACGCGCAGGCGGATGAGAATGCCCGACGCCGGTGGGAGATGGCCGGTGTCCGCACGTTCACGACAACGGCGCTACTGACGGAGATGGCTCATGACTGGAATAACCCCGATGGTGCGAAAGTGCTGCAGCAGCTGGTCATTGACCAGTATCTTCCCTCGTTTAATACAACTTATCCTTTTCAAGCTGGCATTAATTGATAAGTGATGGTTTGTTCAGTCATTAATTTATGAAGTTAATGTGGAAATTATCCGTTTTAGTTGCGCAAATATTATGATAGCTGATGTGAGGATACACGTCATACTTTTTTTGTAGTAAAATTGCTTAATTGCATAAACAAAAGTTTGTATTCTTGAACTCGATTACATAATTTTACTTTTTTCATGGAGAATCTCTGGTAATGGTCACAGAGAAGAGCTTGAACTCCCTAAAAAACCATTCTAGTGTATCTGGGATTGTAGCGACAGGGTAATCTTTTAGAAGCAGATTAATACTTTGTATTTTAGATAAAAAACCAGCGCTTGTTAAGCTTCGTGCTGTCAGAGGGAAGTTAGGGATTATACGCACTGTGCATTTAACGTAATGGCAAGACACATAGGCATTTATTAAGAGGGAATAAATAGCCAGTATGTATACATTTGTCCCTTTCCTTTGACATTAATCATACCACGTTCTTCCACTTGGTACTTTGAAGTCTTAACGATTAATTCCGCAGTGGCGGAACTAAGATGCACTCGGGAATCTGCACCATACATCAAAATCCTCGACGCGGTATTTATCGTATCGCCGAATCTACGATAAATAGTTTATAACATGCTAATTAAGTATATAACTAAAGCGGTGTATTGCTTCTAATTACGATCACGAATAGCCAACTCACAAACAGTATCGTGGCACTTTAAGCCCAACCACGCCTGCTGCGCATCTGCCGGTATGCACTCCCGCTCGGAAAGCGGTGTCGTTAAATGACGTTTGAATAGAGGAATAAGTGCGAAGTAAGCGAGTGGCAAGACCGCAGATCTCTTGCGCGTGTTCGGTTCCGTTACGAATAGGTATACCACTAACCACCTGCAAATTAATTAGCAATTCGTTAAAAAGACCTAAAAAATTGCACTTAATTTTTTACCATGTAAGAATCTTTGATAGTTTCCACTTTGTACACATCAAAAAGATCCACCGCCTTATCGAACGCCATGTACACCTGCAGAGCATTTGCAGTTATTTTTTCGCTTAATCTAATACTGTATTTATAGTTTGTGCTAACCTCATTCAAAAACAACAAAACATCTTTTGGTTCGGTCAAAGCTAATACGTTCAAGAAACCGCCAATCTCTCTGAAATGCGACGACAATGGTTACACGGGCTGTATGAATATTTTCATATAGACTTACGTAAACATCAAAGTCGCCAAATCGAACATTTCCGGTTTCGGGATAGTACCACTTCTCAATTCACCGATCACCGTTCTAAAACGCATCAAGCGGATTTTACGTAAGGAAATTCAGTGAACTGCGAAAAAGGCTGATACGCATACACTGGTAGCATTTCTCGCAGCAAAAGGTCACACCGTCTCTGTTCATCGATTAGCTGCAGGGTTCGGGTCGCCACCTGTCGATCCAGTTCATCGGTGTAGGTTCCTAGACGCCTAATTACTTTCTCCATAAAGTTCGAGCCTTCCGTCCGGTCCATTGCTTCAGTGCAGGTAATCAGCAGCCGCGCAGCAGAAGGTCGTTCACTGGCGGAGGGGTTTAACGATGCTTCAATAACTGAAAACATGGGGTTCAGTCGTCTTGGCAGTTGATTGTCTTGTTCGACCCGCCATCTCCGCAAATCGTCTATCAAAAATATAAGACGCGAGTAATTTTCGCAAAGCAATACTAAATTAAAAAAAAAACTGAGTTACCCGCAGTTTTGATTATATCCTCGTGTGCCATAATGTAAATCAACACAAACGCCACGGCTTGAATGTCGTGTTTTGGATCCTCGTCGTCAAGTACATCGTACACAGCCTGTTGACCTTGTGGATCATCGACAACAATATCGTTGTGTTTTAAGCGCTGTTCAAGACGCTGAAAGCCGGCACGACCAATCTTTGCAGTAAAATGCTTGTCGATCAGACAGCAGTGAATGGTCAAGTTTCCATGGTACTTCACGGGAGAACGGTGCACTGCCCGCAGTCCCTATAGACATAGTACCATACAACGGTATGACAATGCATTGCTTACATTGAGCTAATATTCTTATAATTATGCGTAAAGTACGAGTACAACTGCGCAGCAAATTAAAAACCCATTAGCTTGTTGGTAGGTACAACAGCATTTTGCTACGGACAATAGTGAATATATATAGTTGAATATATATATGATATATATTCAACATTCTTTAATATTGTGTTTTACCCGTAAGATATCAAGTATGAATGCGAACTGTAGATCAAAGTCCACTGTCATTCTGGCCATGAGATCGGGTAGAGACCCCCTTGAGCAGTACTCCGAAATTAACGTAATCGATCCTTCGATAACGGTGAACCCAATGAAACGGCATACGTTGGTATGCTCCAGCTCTTGAGTCTAAATGCCCAACAATGTAATCGTCGGTTTCAGTCACTTGTCACAGCCGTGGTAAAGACTAAAACTCACTGTTACGAAAAGGCCCAACCAGCTACAGCATGACAACCTTACTTTCTTTATAATTTTAAGCCCTGATTTAGATAGTGGAGTCAGAGACGAGGCCGGTGCGTTGAAAATGCGTAGGCGAGTAAGCCATACCATTTCCGAAGAGACCACGTACATCTTTATCCGATGTTCGCTGCCAACAACCTGTTAACTCAAACAATTATCGACATGCAACTGTACCGTGTCTTCGACTTGGAGAAAAAGATATTTGTGAAAAAAATCCGTACCGGTATGAGAAGTTCTGGTGTTATCCTCCATCGTGATTCATTCAAAGCGTGCGTTCGCATCGTCCGCCTGAAACATTCAGTTTGTTAAACACAGAAACGCTTACACGTTCTCTTGATTACTACCATCACTACCATGGCATACCAGATGATTATCAAAGATGCAACACAAATAACAACAATAGCCGCAACTGTTCCAGCAATCGTTTCCACTGACAGAGTGCCTGCAAAGCCAAAAACTGATTCGACGCGATCCCCAGACGGTGGCAACGAGTATCGTTCTAATATTAAAAATTCGACACGTACCTGTACGGCAAATTGGCTTGTCGCCGCGATATCCGCAGCGTGGTTCATTGGGCGGTGGCCAAGGACCGAGCCATTCTATTGGTTCGCCGGTTGGTCTCAGCTCGAGCTCTGGAACAACTTGTACGAAGAGCGTCTAAAAAAATATCAACAATTGTCAGGTTACCTTGAGGATGCTAGCACTGTTGGTGCGTTTTAGATACGAGTATGTTGTCCGCTGTATTCTGACTTACGCGCAACTCAGACGTATTCCACGACAGCTGATTCACACATTTCCGCGGAACTCGCTCCCCAGATGAGTCAATGTAGAGGTCGCTAACATCCGTGTGAAAGGTCCGATTCATTAGCCGCTTGGCCAGTTTGGCCCCGGATGCCCATGTCTCAGAACTATCCGATACCCTAAGCTCCTCCATGACCTTTTAACAGGAATAACCAGAATACTTAATCAATTTCAAAAAGCAGCTGAAGAACAATACGATTAGGGAGACAGAAATATATATCATTGACTGCAGTATATTTTTCCAGTATACGGTATACCTGAGCAACCATCATCATAGAGGCATAGGTACTACCAGGATGCGGGCTGACCTTAGACAGACATCTTGTTACTAACCGTACTAATGCATTTTCTGATGCACGTACTGGCTGAAATGACAGGTATGTGTGATTGTAATCTCTATGGGAATGCCTTATCATTTCTTCTGAAAAGGTGTCCGAAGTGCTGGTATTTCCGTAAATCGACAGGTCGGACTCCACAATCAGTACGGACCGATATGCCTGCCGTATAATCTGTAAAATTACGATATTTCATAGTTGATACTGTACAAACTACAAAGCGTCCAGAACAAATTTGCATCATGCCAAGGCAACTATCAATGATTAAATTATGCAGTTTCACGGTTTCCAAATTGCGCTTACAGGATCATCACTATCACCCTTATCCCAGGAGAGATAGCCTGGTGCGGTGCTCAGTCTAAAAGGAGTGGATATCACGTAAACCTAATGCAAAACAGACTGTGGCTAGATGTTGCAAATAAAATTATAAATAAAAAATTTGCTGTGAAACAGCATTACATGACCGCCTGAGAATTCTATAAAAATGCAAACTCGCATAATATATTTTTGTGAACTGCCTATATATTTACGTCATCCCATTATTTAAAGTCACATAGTACTAAATGTACACTAACAGTACTATATAAATTATTGAAAAAGTCTTGAATATTCTTACATGCTCCCCCATCGTCATATTGAGACCTGCTGCTGTTTTCTGCATAATACAATAACAAACTTTCGTTTGAACGCTCATATTTTCATAAACTTTACACATACGCAAAGTGCATATTGTTGGCATTGAGTTACGTGGTTTGGCTTACCAAAATCTTGCGGAACTCCCCAGATTCACCAAAAAACAAGATAACTGCAACAAAAACCAGAATCGTGCACTATTATCCTGTTAATAACTTGCAGTTGCCACAAAATAAACCGCTAGTGGCAACCCCTTCTCACTTCTTGATTGGGCGTTGAGCCGATTAAGAACCGCAACACGATCGACTCCTTCCTTCGAATTATACGATTCCATAAACGGTTGAAATCCGTCACTCGAAAAGATTTTGAACAGCGCAAACCCAAACACATCCATGCCGGTATTGTAGCTCTTGTCCAGAAGAAATCCCAGCGTGTGCCATTTGAACATACTGCACAAATTTTGATACACACGAATACTGGTAGAAAACGAATTCGAGGTGGTGCTGATCCATGTAGGAGTAATGGCTTTATTGCGCATAATAGGCGCCACACTGAAATGCATCACTCACATTTGGCTGCGCGTAAAATACGAGTATCTTAAGTGACTTAAGTCTATCGTAAAACGTGTCATGTTGTGTGCTCATACGGCTGCTTTTTGCATAAGCATTAAGTGATCTAAACACATGACCTTTTTCAAAATATCGCGCCTCAGGGTCTTGAAAATTACGTGGTGAAATTAATTATTTAAAATATTTATATCGTCTCTTATGCTAGATATAAAAGTATACGACGTCGTTACGTGGTTATCATAAGAAGGTCAAGTCCAGTCACAATAGGAAGTGTTTGCACAGCATCCTCGCAACCTAAAAAAGCATGATTACAGCAAATTAAATGACCATGCTGCTGCATTTTCTCATTGTACGGTTGTTACTGCTGTAGCACTAGAAGATTCTGTATCGGGCTTTGCAATAAAGACTGCAAATGAATGCAAATGTCTGTAAGTACGTTTTGTGTCTAGGTGGTACAGCAGCCTCAGCCATATGAATCCCTATACGTACCGGCAAAAATTAAGGTGGTAACCGTGCAAGCATTCCGGTGTGTGTCGTAGGTATCTCGATACAAATGCGGAGCAGAATAACTTATGCTGTCCCAACTCCAATCAAAGCAGTCATGATACTTGGTATCGGAAACGATCGTCTGCTTAAAATGCACATGAGGATACACGGTTTTGATTCGCTCTAGCGACAGATCAAATGCCGGTCCCAAGTATGGCAACGATCCCAACATTGTCGGGTACAACAGTGTTAGAGTGTAAACTTGAACGTATACATCGGCGCAAGGTAGCGAAGAATTTCCAGCCGCCACCTGAGAGCTGTTCATGTTGGCATACAAAAGTGTGGCTTTCTTTATGCAGGAAAATACAGATGTTGCAGCCTGTAAAGTACAGATAGCACAGATAATCTGCGCACAAATGCGCGCAACTCGGGGAAAGTGAAATTATTGTGTATCAAAACAGGAAGCTCTCCAAGAAGATAGCCATAAATGCCGGATGCTGAAATTTTAAATGATGTGGATTGCGGATTTAAAATTAATAAAATTAGAAGAACCTACAAGCAGTATTTCTTAGATTTTCCGGTCATCTTCACGGGCATCAGAGTTTAATTCCCCAGGTCGTACCAATTTCTGGTTATAAAAACCGAAAATGTTGTTTGCACTAAATCCAGTACTGCGCTATTTTCAACTCCGTGACTTGCACTGAATGCACGATCAAATTTCAGGCAAATACCAATAAAAGGGAAGGGTATCAGGTTTATTTTAAGTACCCATGAGTCATTAGCAAGGGTAGCTGTACCGGTACGTAATTCCCAGGTTGATTATCTGAATAAACTCGCTAAGTCCACTTGGCGGATTGTAAGTAAGCGGTTACCTAACCATTTAGGAATCGCACTTGCATGCGAAACTTTAGCGTGTGACCCTGCTATCCACTCAAGCTCATTTGATTGTACGTATACGTAAGTAACGCAAGAACCTCTTCGATAGTCCAAATTCCTTTACCAGTGAAACACTGACACTGCCGGTAGATGAATGAGACTAAATGTAAAAATATTAAATCAGGATCAGTGTTTTACGCCTTCCATGCAAACCATGCCATCGTGGGGGATACTAGAGAAGTGACCGGAAGCACGAGCACGGTGAAGAAGATTACATTTCATCGCTCAAGTTCCAGCCACACAGACAACCTTTTCCTGTTATTTTGTGAGAACAAAATAACAATACAGAAGACAGCACGTGCGCAGCGGTAGGTAAAAGGCATATTTCTCGATCCAACCATCAAGAAATGAGAGAACGTAAACTGAGAACTCCAGAATGTTGAAAAAGTGCAGCGTGAACAGTTCAAAAAGGCGGCAAATAAAGGAAATACGGCAGTTCCTTCCGTCTGAATGGCTGGTGCAGTAGCAGCGTGGGAGGAGACAAAATTTTACGTAACACCAATTTTGATTATCGAGTTGAGTGGCTGGTAAACTTTACTCCTTGTCTGGCGGTATATGCGCAAAGACACCAAGCCGCTAATATTACTGGAAGATCCGAATATAATATAATTTGAAATTTTTGATTATGTTAAAATTTTGTATTAATAAGAATAATGGAATACTCACAACGGAGCGGTTGTCCCTCTAGGCTTTGGACAACGGAAAACAACAGGCAGTATTAAATAACATCGAAACGTGACAATAAGAAAACTGGCGGCTATTATGACGCTGTTCAAAGTGGATAACAGCAGAAAGCATTGACATAATGTTACAGTATATCAAAGCGAATTACTCTTCTATCGGTTGCGAACTTACGACAGAAGTTGTTGCTATTGTGGAAAATGAAGGTAGGCGACTGCATAACAGCTTTTAGTAGGTGTGTTTATCGGGCCCACCTTACAGTGATGTATTCTTTAATTTACAGAGTCAGACTATAAGTAGAAAATTAGTATGGTTATACTGAGAAAATAATTAACCCGGTGAACGGTTTGCTGAACACCGACAGCTTGCAAACTTATTCCGTCATTGATCAGGAAGCATAATTGCATGGATATTACAACAATCGCAGTACTTTATGGCCTTATGAAACATCATTATGGGTTCATATATACCTTATTGAAAATCCGGAAATTTGACTACGTGAAAAAATAATAACAGATATCATTTTTCAACGCATTTACACAGCAGTCACAAATCGTTTAAGGGTCATCGGTATGAGGTTAGTTAATTATTTCGCACCCCCGGCCGTTTACTTAAACAGAAAAAGCTAAAATCATGGTCATCCATAGCGTAATGTGTTCCGACGTTGCACATGGCAAGGAAATTTAAACTTTTAATTACATAGAATACCAGGAACTATGCGGAAATCTTTAAATTAGGTCTGCGAAAGCATCCTGTCTTGGCTATACGCAGTAGGAGCAATAGAGCAAATAACGTATTCAAGATCATCACGGGAATAAAACCAGTACAAGTTTTTTTGCTAGAAAATTCCAGTCATTTGTGTTGTGGGCAGTAAAGATGAAATGGTGCTATACAAACGCTAATGCTGAAATAATGTTACTATACAGATATTCTTTGGCACTTGTAGGTGTTATTACATATATCTGTAGTTTGTGGTTCTAGTTTGTGGTTCTAGTTTGGCTTTCAAATTTATTTTAAAACTAGGAAGATGCACTATTGCATGCATTAGTAGACCGGAGCTCAGCTCATATTTTGGAGGTAGTTTTTAGCGCACACAGAGTATTTGAGTAGTCGTTGTGTTTTTACCAGCGCACCAAAGTGCGCGTTTAATTAGTCTTTATGTCGGGAAGAAAAAATAACAGAATCTTCCCGAAAACAGGATTGCGGAATGATGGCAAATGTGGCCAAAGATGTAGGCCACCGTGTTTTTATATTAAAGCGTATGAATGTCGTCTAAGCGGTTCACCATGTGTGACTACCTGTTCTGACCAGCTCACCATGAGCGTAGCATGACTAGACACATTTATCGGAAGATGCCCATTCTGTTTCTAACCTGATTTTAGTTTTGTTTCTTCTTCCGTTCGTACGGAACGTACCAATAAAGTTAGGGCTGCGATCTGGCCGCACAGTGAACTGGTGTTTCTCGATTCTGGTAATCGTAAGCATAGCTGCTTCGTGACCTCGCATCCTTTTCCAACCTGAACAGTCGATTGCTCCCTGGAAGCGCTGTATAAGCAGTTCCAGTTGAGATGCTTTAAGAGCATCGTTTTAATATTGGCCACCGTGTGACATAGATGTAGGTCACCGTGTGACGACACAATAAGGAAGTGACCTTACACTTCCGTGGCAGACAGACAGAATGACAGACAGACAGTTTTCTAGTTTTGTTGAATTTAGAGGACCTTCGCTGCGCTCCGGTCGATTAAAAATTTTCATCGCAGAATCAATTATTTTTGTGAGCCCCTGCTTTGCTTAAGTGTGAACATCTTTGGAGTTTATAAGCAGGAACGACATGTTCATGTTCATGGGATCTGTGCCAAATGTGCCTGACCGTTTAAAAAAACAACACTCAAAGCCATGGCGTCGCTATGCTAAACAACTGTTTTTACTTACCACAGTTTAAAAATTCTGAATCATATGAAGAGCTCTCCACCTCAGAGCGCTCTTTATAATAAAACAGTTCCGCGAATATGAAAACGCCCGCGTCAGAGGATACGTTTACAAGGTTGTCAGGAAAAGGTAACAAGGTTGTCAGGCACCGTGTAATAACCATCTTGGATTCCGCGTTGCCGTCCCGGCACTCCCTACCTGTTTATTCCCAGGAAAGTCTTGCTCTTAAACTCTTGCTTCCCCTTCGTCCTTTTCAGCAACCACTAGAATAACAACATCTGGTTGTTCACCCTAAATTTATCTTTGAAAATAAAACGTGAATTTAGTAGTGTGTCTGTATACGTACTCGGGTAGCTTTGTCTGAGTGGAAATGCATGCATGCATGTAGATTAGCATCCGCATCTGTTGATAGGGAAAGTATAAACCGTTTTGAAAGTCTCTGCGTTTAATCGTTGAATGTGTTGGACACTTGCACTTGGTCTGACCTTTCGATTTAGAACAATTCATATACAGGATCAGTTCAGAAGTATATTATTAGTTATTGATTCAGAAGTATTAATTTTGTTATTTCGTATGAAGTGAGGGTCATTGAACAATGTCCTCAGTAAATACCAATGTACCGCAATTATCTTCTCAGTGTTCTCACAATCGGAATTTTGTACCGGCATTACAGTGAATTAACGTACAAGCATAGTCAAATTATAATGTCCAAACGTCAGCTACTCGTATAAACCAAATAGGTCAAGGTGTAACAATTAGCCAGAACGTCCGCATTAATCCTTTTCCTTTAACCTCGATCATTCCACGATCCTCCACTTGATACGCGGAAGCGCTGACGATCAGCTCAGCTGCTGTCGAGCTCAAGTGTACTCGGGAGTCTTCGCCATACATCAAAATTCTGGATGCGGTATTTATCGTGTCGCCAAATCTGGAATTCAACGATCAGTGATTGTTGGTATTTAGTACTATTTACGTACATTCTTCTGACACTTGAATAGCAACAATACACACAACTCACAAACAGTATCGCGGCACTTTATGCCCAACCACACCGGCTGCACATCGACCAGAGTGCACTCCCGCACGAAACGCAGTATAGATGAAAAGCGTTTGGAAGGCAGAGAATGCTCGTAGCAGTGAGGTGGCAAGATCACAGATTTCTTGAGCGTGATGGGTTCCATTACGGATTGGTATGCCACTTACTACCTACGTTACATACTTCATTAATTTCCGATAAACCAAATAGAAGTACAGAATAACGACCACCGAGTGAGTATGCGAATAATTTACCAAATAGGAGTCTTTTATAGTTTCCACTTTGTATACATCGAAAAGGTCAACCACCCTATCGAACGCTATATACACCTACCGCAAAAACATTCTCTGTTTAAAATTACTTTATATTCGTGTCATTTTCAGTTTTCAGTATTTCTATATTCGGACTTACATCATTTAGAAATAATAAGACGTCTTTCGGATCGGACACAGCCAAAACGTTTAGGAAACCCCCGATTTCTCTACAGTTTTAAATAAACTTCATAAACCCGCACACATACCGTATTTAGGAATCTTACGTGAACATTAAAGTTGCTGAATCGAACATTTCAGCTTTCGGTGTTGTGCCTCCACGTAGCTCTTCGATCACAGTACTGAAATATTATAACTTAGCAAATAAATTGAGATAGTCCAGTTAAATTACTTACCTTGGCAGCATTTCGCGCAGCACAACATCGCATCGTCTACGCTCATCCAACAGTTGCAGCGTGCGGGTTGCCACCTGGCGATCCAACTCATCGGTATAATTGCCCAGACGATGGATCAGCCTCTCCATCAAATTCCCTCCATCCACCCGATCGATAGCTTCGTTAAGGCTAGCAATTAGGCGATTAACGGACGGACGCTCATTGGCCGAGTGGTGCAGACAGGATTCCATGGCCGCAAACAACGAGCCGAACTTCTTCGGCACCACGTTCCATTGTTCGGCCCTCCATTTACGTAATTCGGCTGCAAGACCCGATAGTTATACAGTTTGAGGGTCATACTGCGCAAGTACCGGTACCGGGTGTTTTCAAGGAATCTTCCCGCGTAGTGATGTAAAGTAATACACGTGCCATGGCATAGATATCGTTCTTAGGATCATTACCATGGACGATACAATATTCGTCCTGTCTGCTTTCATTATCCCTGGGACCACTCGCCGTTAGCAGTCGCTCCATGTGCTGGTATCCGGTACGACCAATTTTTGCCGTAAAATGTTTGTCAATTAAACAGCAGTGTATAGTTAAATGCCCATGGTATTTGAGGGGAGAACGATGTATTGCTCGCAGTCCCTGCACAATAAACACAGCTTACCCATAAACAACCACGTAAGAAAGGGAAACGCACAGCATGGTGGAAGCTTAGTGTTATAAACACAACCAGCAGGATGTCTTAAATTATTTTTCAACCGCAGGTTCGAACTCAGATAATTGTGGATTCCGTACCCGTAAAATATCTAGCATGAACGCAGTTTGAAGGTCGACATCCACGGTCAGTTTGGACATGAGATCTGCGATAGAACCTCGCAAGCAGTGCTCCGAAATCAGGTTAATTGATTTCTCGATGATAGTGAATCCAATGAAACGGCATAAGTTGAGATTCTCCAGTTCATGCATCTGACTCATCGGAAAACAGGAGTAACTTAATTTCTGGACTGAGTAATTCGCTGTCAAAAGATATTACCGTAACAACTTACATTTTTTATTGCCCGTAGCATCGATTTCGTAAGTGGCAGAGGTGCAGCTGAGGAGACCGATATGTAGGTTGTTCGCAGTCGCGTCACCCATACCATTTGCGAGTAGGTCACATAAATCATAACGCGGAGTTCTTTGCCAACAATCTGTAGAGATCGTTAATACGTTTGCGCCTGAGAACATTTATTAGCACTGGCAGAAAAATTAAATACCGGTATAAGTTGGTCTGGTGGCACTCTCCAGCGTATCTCGTTTAATGCCTTCATCCGTACCGTGCGCCTGTATAAAGCGACGAAATAATATTACACCAGCTGGCATTGATGCATACTGGTGCAACAACTTCCGTATCCTGCTAATGTTTTGGAGACTGCACGAACGCCTCTTTGCGTACCTTATCACAATGACAGACACAATGCAGAGCAAAACAACAGCAGAAGCTGCTGCTCCAAGAACAATTTCCAGGGTTAGGGAAAAGATACCTGCAAGAGGTTACATCGATCAGCAATCGAGCGCTGTTAAATCAAACAAGTAGCGCCTATTTTCGACGGCATAAATGATAAGGGCTAATAAATGCGGATCACACGTTCCATGCCTGTACTGCACTTAGGGTTGTCGCCACGAAAACCACAACGTGGCTCGTTTGGTGGTGGCCATGGACCAGGCCATTCCACTGCAGTCTGGTTGCTCCATCGCAATACAAAATCCGGGACGGTTTGCACGAGCAAAGTCTGTAATTCCAAGACAAACAACACATCTTTTTAGAGATCAAGGTAAGCGTAAATTTCTTTGCATTCTATCATTCCTAAGTACCCGTATTTCCGATGTATTCCATGTTAGCTGGTTGACACAGGCTTGTGGATTCCTTTCCCCAACTGGGTCAATGTAAATGTCGCCCACATCCGTGCTGAAAGTTCGATTCATCAATCGCTTGGCAAGCTTTCTCCCGGAAGACCATATTTCTACGTTTCCAGATATTCTGAGTTCTTCCATGACCTTTAAAAATATTTGCCAAAGAGTTAGTAAATAGAACGGTACAAATTACGTTACGTTAAACGTAGCCATTATAACACATTCACTTGCCTTAGTATCAAGTTTATTATTTAGGAAATGGCTATAGGCACCCCCTTTCACCCCCGTAACCTATAGGCACCCCTTTTCGCACCCCCGCAGACTACAGGCACCCCTTTTCGATTAATCAATCTCTGCACCCCGTTGCGTGCGAAAGCTATAGGCACCCCTACAGATATATTGTCCGTTGATGCTATGTTTTAAGGTCGAATTTCTTGACCTTAGAATGTAGAAAGTCGTTGCACTACCGGCTCCAGAATTTTTTCTCTTGTAATACGTATAAACTAGTCTGTAAAGCAGTGTCAAACTAGTACTGTCAAAGAGATAGACTCCAAAAATTCGTAGTCAGACGATCTGAAAGAGGCCCATTGTCTGGATGGAGTGTCTACTGCCTAGTACACTTTTTTATGTGATGCCTGACGAAGTCTTGTCAGATCGTCAACAAATCTTTGTCAACCAAAACAACTTTCAAAAAATCCTAGTTGGTGTGCTCTGGAAATAAAATACTGAAAATGGGTTCCTATAGTCCGCGAAAAAAAACAGGGTGCGGGAATTCTCTAACAGAAAAGGGGTGCCTATAGTAAAACAGGGTGCAAAAAGGGGTGCCTATAGCAAACGGAGGTGAAAGGGGTGCCTATAGTCTCACCCTATTATTTATTATAACTTATACTACTTAGTCGTACAATAACGTGTCAAACTGTATGCTCTACTAATGCGCAAACGAAGGTATTACTAGGTTATCTAATATTTTGTAGAAATCAGCGCACCAAATCAAAACTTGTGCTTATTACGATTTACGAGTACCATCGTATGTCGGTGATTGACTCACCTGAGCAATGATCATCATGGAAGCGTACGTCGCTGCAGGGTGTGGACTGATCTGAAAAATCGCACCACAGAAGTGTACTTGCCAAGCGATTGATGGATCGAATTTTCAGTGCTAAACCGTGGTACAAACCGTACAAGTGTTTACTGTTCTTACGGGCTGGAAGGGCCGGTAGGTATAGTTGTAATCCAGGCGAGAACGGTTGATAATTTCTTGTGAAAATGTGCCGGATGATTTGGTTTTCCCGTATACCGATTCGTCTGCCTCCACAATCAACACAGATCGATACGCTTGTCGCACTATCTTTAGCAAAATCAATTTATAAAGTAATCCTTTCTGATCTGCCTAATATGTTTCTGCCCCACTCAGTTCGAATGTTTTGCTCACCGCGTCGTCAGCGTCACCTTTATTCCACGACAAATAGCCGGGTGCGGTACTTAGCCTAAATGGTGTTCCGATTACGTAAACCTAGAATCAAAATACTGGTTGGTGTAAGCACTTCGCCACAATCTTTATTGTGGCAACGATTTGATGTTCCGCTTGCAAATATAGTACTGTAGCCGCCCGCACAAGTTGCTCCATTGGCAGATCCGGCCGCTGCCTTCTCCCTGCACACACTGCGCTGAACAGCGAGCAATGTGAGGCCAAATATCCGTATACCTCACTCTGTGGGGCAACTTGTGCGGGCGGCTACAGTATCACAATGATCACTGCGTCTTGCTTATGTCACGGCAAATTCTGGTGCACGCAACAGAGTATTCCATGTTACGCTTAATCCTCTTCGTGTTAGATTTTCTTACATGCTCCCCCATCGTCATGTTCAGCCCGGCTGCTGTTTTCTACAAAGCGCGATGCGTTTACTTTGCAAATTAGTTGCGGGAAATAAATCGTTTTTCGTCAGCCTTACCAGAATTTGTCGAAATTCGCCGGATTCACCAAAAAAGAAGTATACTGAAAACAAATACAATTTTCATCGATAGTCTGTGCCTCTATGGTAATATGATTTTACCAGCGCAACCATACGCTAAGATTACTTCTACTGTTCTACATGCAGTTGTATTATTATTTACTTCGGGCTTTAGCATTGAGACGGTTGAGAATTGCAACACGGTCGACACCTTCCTTTGAGTTGTACAATTCCAGGTACGGCTGAAATCCGACACGTGAAAAAATCTTGGAAAGCTGTACACCAAATATAGCCATGCCCGTGTCGAAGCTCTTGTCAACCAGGAAACCCAGTGTGTGCCAGTTGAACAGAGCGCATAAGTTATCAAAGAGCCGGATGTAGATGTAAAAAGAGTTTGCCGTCATCCCGATCCATGTTGGTGTAAGGATTTTGTTGCGGAGGATTGGCAATGTGGCTACGCTGAAACAGTTGCAATCTTATATCAACTATTGTGCTTCTGTGTGCTTCGCTTGATTGTTATAATAAAGAGTTTCGTGTCGTCGTGCGACGCTCCTTAAAGCAATAGAAAATCCAGCAAACGCACTACATAGAAAAGTCAACTCTGGGATAGAAATGGTAGCGTAAGCCATACATAAAAAAGCGAAGAAAGTGTTTTGAAGTTTTCTACTATTTAGAATCTTTATCCAAAGATCTGGACTGCCAGAGCGCTTTAACGTCATTGCATTACTGTATCGATCCGCACAATTCAGAGTCATGTCCAGTCACTATAAAGACAAATATCCGTACCTAGTGATCATCAAAAGGTTAAGCTCCGTAAGAACCGGTAGTATTTGAACCATGTCATCGCAACCTGCAAAAAGATGGTTGCTATATTTGGGCACGTTGAATGACACTATCAACACCATACCAATGACGAATCTTGCTTAAATTAGCCATGTTAATAACAAACTGAATGTACAAGTGCAGCGTTGGAGTCATCGCAATGATATGTTTCGACTGCAAAAGAACTATAGATATATGTGTAAACTGGCATTTGAGACGATAGCAATTTTTTTAACTGTAGCAGCTTTTTTAACTTATCCATTTATTTATTTAAGAAAAATAAATGCTCAAGAAGGGGACGCTGGTTATCTGGATCAAAGCGCATATACTTACCGGGAAAGATTAGCATCGTAGCCATGCAAGCATTTCGATGCACGTCATAGATTTCTCGAAACAGATGTGGAGCAGTATGATTTACGCTGTCTGCACCCCAGTCAGTGCAATCACGATATGTAGAATCAGCAATCATGGTCTGCTGGAAGTGTAGATTGGGATACACTGTCTTGATTCGCTCGAATGACAGATCAAATGCCGGTCCCAAATAAGGCAGTGATCCCAGCATTGTCGGGTACAGTATCGTTAAAGTGAAGACCTTAATGTAGACATCAGGGCACGGAAGAGAAAAATTTCCAGATTCCACAATCTCGGAACTGCTCATGTTCGCCACAAAAGGCCTAGAATGCCAGCTGGAATATCTACACTCAAAGGACCAGCAAGGCGGATGGGTGTGGCGGAGTGTATGCGCATGCCATCTCATACGAATATTTACCGCTGTGCAAAACTGACTTGCACTAAAACTCCCTAGGATGGGGGAGTAAAGTTGGTCGCATAATAAGTAAATAATGACATTCCAGTAAGTTTATCAAAATAGCTCGTTAATTTTCGTACATTTCCGGGCGTCATGCTGATGACATTAAAAAGTCACAAGATCCTGTTAGTAAATTGACATCCAGTAATTACATAGGCTTTACAAACGTTACAACATCTCCCTGGTTTTTAGTAGTTTTTTCGGCCCGGTGCAACACCTCGATGAATAAATGCGAAACTAAAGAGCACTGAGAAAAGGTGTGCATTTGTTTAAATAGCGGTACTGGTACGCGATTCCTGAGGTGACAACACGAGAAGATGTTGTGCTTAGAGCGTGCAACATATTTTCTTGACACCGTTATACGATACCCCTGTGTGTACATTATCTAAAAATTTGAAATACTGAGTCGGGAAAGTGATGCAACATGAACGGTAACAAGATTTTGTGGTGTTTGCTTAAGATTCCTTTATTCAGCATAATATTCCAACTGACTGATTGCTAATTGACCAATACCGGCTTATTTAATTAGGCATATGCACGCGAGTTTTTCACCAGCTACGAGATAAACACTGAAATGTAATCATTTAGCCATTTAAACATATGCAAACAGCAAGGTCGAGTTTACCGCTTAGAACCTGTATAAACGCTTACGTAAGCGGTGCAACGGTGAGCATTTGCAGAATATCTTTTGAGCCTCATGTCTCCATGCCGGCAACGCCAGCAACAGAAGCACAGGATCGATAATCGATTGGCAGTCATAGAGCGCGACGACGATAATATCCTGAACGTCCCGATCATAATGACCCAGCGGTCTCATTATGGCGAAAAACGCTACATATGGTCCCCAACACAGCAGTGCACTCAAGGCAAAAATTAGCAATAAGACGGATGTCTGACGGTCGGCTGCTGTAAAGCGCCTACTGGATGATACAAAGTTGACTTTACCGAATTTTTTTTGACTAATGAACTCAGCTCTCCAGGAGGTGTTAGCTTTCCGCTTCCAAATAATAACCGGAAGCGACAGAACTACCGTGATGAAAGATATTAAAAGGACAGCCTCGTTAATGGTTTCCAAAACAACGCCGCTTACTGAATCACTATGTCCTTGCATAAAACACTGCCAAAGTTGTTGTGGATGGCGTACATTAGTGTATACGATGGCACTGGGAATGGCGATTAAGTGGGTCGACAGCCATATTGCTCCTGTTGCCAAATAGGCAGCATTAAATGTATGAAAGTTCCGGAAGGAAACTGGCGCAATTAAGGCAAACATTCGGTTGACTGCGATATAAGCATGTGTGGTCAGTTGAATCATGGAGAAGTCAAACACTCCATAGACCAGGAATGTGCAACCGGACAAACCTAACCACCATGTCGGCTGTACTTGGAAGAGGGTCATTAATGGGCCCTTTGCGCTTTGTGCCATGATGTTGGATACCAGAAGACCGACAAAGTAGACGTCGAAGGATGTCCACAACCTTTGGCGAAGGAGAAAAACAACCAGCAACGCGCTGTTACCAACACACGCGGTGATGCATATCGCCCCCGTTACAAGTGTCAAGCGCAACTTCGTTTCAAGAAAATCGGGAAAGGCGGGATAAGTCACATTGCTTAAGGATGAACTGGTGGTGTAAAGTACAATCAAACTGATGTTAATCATTGTTATTCTTATTAGAACGCTAAAGTTTAGATTGGCCAAACCTCACAGCTTGTTTCTCTTAAAGTTGAAATGTGTGTACTATGAAGTCGCAGTGTACGTTGAAAGTGCGAATGACAATTACTGAGGTGGAAGTAACTGAAAGTGCAGGTACAGCATAATTACTGCATTGCCACTAATTATTGGAAATTTCACCTGGTTTCACCTAAAGGTTACGTTATGATACGCGTAGCACGTAACCTAATGCTGTGATAGGCCCGTAGTAAAGACAGTAAGCTATATCGGTTATATTTGCATTTTGGTTGTGTCAACGGTCAACGCTTCCTGTTCAGTTAATTGTGTCAAACTCAAACGCAGTCTGTCACTGCTTCTTGTCAAATTGACGATCCTATCTGCCACTGCCAGCAAACAACAGATATGCATGCCGTATCGCATCGCCGTATGACAAAGGAAATAGTGTGGCCACAAACACCACTTGTACAATTATCTGAATTGTCAGTCCATGAAAATTCTCATAAACCTTGTCCCGGTTGCCAAATAAGTTGCCAAAAGGTGCGTATATGTGAAGGTTTAATTTAAAATTATTAGAAATATGTTGTTAATTTTACACATCTAAACGCACCATAAGACTACAATAAAAATTAATTATGAACACTTCATAGCGCAATAAACTATCCTATATGTACGAGAATTTTGTAGCAGCATCGGTTTTAGAATGAACATGCATGACAGTTGTACACACTTTGCGCGACTTCCAACAAAGCTACACGGTCGAATAAACCTCAAGGTTGTCAACAAAATTGCGAACGTCATGTTTGGATGCAGATGGTATCCAGGTTTGTTTGAAAGCGAAGCATTAAGCGTGCTTGATGCCGAAGCTTAGTACTTAATCCCATGCCGCAGTATTAGATATCTGACAGACGGTAAAAGTTGGCTTAAAATGCCGCAAGTGAACCCCCTTGCTGATATCCTGCAACACACTGAACACAGCATGAGCCAACGGAAACAACTTAAGGGATTTGCGATACTCATATAGCAGTTCTCGATCCAATGTTGAGCTATTCAGTCGGTCCCTATTCCCCCCAAACAACTCTCGGGAATGGTTGACAACTTTACTATTCGTGCTCGGAATGCACCAAATACAACCTTGATATCTGAACAATTTGGCTTAAGTCAAATAATTCCATGGTTCACGGTTCTTTCTTGCTGCTTGAGCGTAATTGCCAACGGCCTGGTGTTACTGTGCTACTTCCGTACCTCCTCCCTGCGTACCGCCTTCAACACCTACATAGTCAACCTAGCCGCAGCCGAAACACTGTACGGAATCACTGCCCTTCCCTTGACGTTCACTAAGGCCTACTACCTCAGCTGGCCTTACAGTTATTCCTTGTGTACTGTCTTTTTGGTCTTCTACAATATCATTGGGCCAGGAATCCGGTATGCCAATCTGCTAATGTTGATTAACCGATTATGGGCGATCATCCTGCCGGTATCGTACAGACAGCGGCACAACACGCGACTGGCCTTGGTGTTGATCGGATCATCTTGGTTGGCGGTGTCGATAATTCGTTTAGCGATTATTATCCCTGGAAGAATGTTTCCCAACCCTGCTCTCACTGGAAAGTGTGGTCTGAATATTCGTATTCAGCTGGGAATGGCTATCGCCGCTAGAATGCTGTGCTATGACCTCCCGTGGGTGGCACACCTTATTGCGTTTCCACCGCTCGCAGTATGGCTGTGTTTAAGACAAAGTCGCAAGTCACGACAACGGTTGAACGCGCATCTGTCCGTAATACACGGCAAGTGGGACCTATTTAATCACTAATTCAAAACAAATTGAGGGTTACACCACCGCATAAAAAGGAGCAATACCAGGATAAGAGATAGCCTTGCTGATGTCTTGCTGTTGCAGGTCACTGTCCCACAACTGCTGACCATGCTGATGCCGCCAAAGCGTTCCCGTCAATGCAGAAATCCTCACCCCTGAAGCAGACTAGCAGAAGCACAAGCATCTTTATTTATTTAACTGTAAATCTGCTTGTCTGCTGGAGCATCAGTGTTATCTATTTCATTATATCAGACCATACTGGGTACTGGAATGACCTTTACTATATGATGCAAGATTTTGTTATTTATGCCAGCCTGTGGGTCAATCCAATGCTGTGTTTTCTTGTCGGAGACGGTTTTCGTCGTGCTTTAATAGAACTTACGAGGAAATGCCTCACTCTCATTGTCGGTTTAATTTACAACTCCTAAATTTCATGTACGTATTAAGCAAGTGTTTGCAGTGTTTCGGTAAGGATGAGTTTGTACTGTAATAACTATTTAACTATTTTCCATCCAACAGTTTCATGATGATTTTCTGTCGCGCTCAGTCTCTGTACTCGTCCATTTTAATTTATCGCGTTTGAAAAACTGAGTTTCAAATCTACAGACATTTAATTATGTGCTTATTCGTTTTAAAAAAAAGTGGTTCGCCACACACCAAATCTTAGATGGCAGGTGTTTGCTGCTGAGCAGCCACGCATCTTTTCGATTTTTAAACATCATGCTCTTGCTCCAGTTTATAGAACGTCATTCTAAAAGCGTTCCCAAAATTGAAAGGCGGCACATGTCTCCTTCTTATTGTTTCCATTTTTGCAAATAAACGGGTGAACAGGCAGCGAATCGGCTGACAGGTGGTTCGTTTTGTGGCCAGCTTGTGCACACAATAATAGCGGTACAAATATCTATATGTACTACTCGTACTCTAGTAACCTTGTTTTTACCGCGCATTAGATTGTGGTCTGTTAGATTGTCCTTACCACAGCAACTTGCCATAAAAACTCTTCATGCATCCATTTCATGCAGTGCACATACCTCGGATCTCGGATTATCACGTTGCGGAACGCACCGTCACGCTAAAAATCTTTACTAACAATAAAGTATTATGAGCAACAGCAAGGAGTGCAACGTAGAAAGTGAAAACGTACGCGAAAACTTAAAAGCCTGACGGAATACTTTTAAGAAACGGACCTTGTAATACTGTCGAGAAATCGCAGATAACCAAACTGCGATTTTCGCACATAGGATGGCAGTCAGGTACTTAGTAGTAGTGCTGGGTTCGATATGCACGATAGTGAAAATGTTGAACAGGGGAGATAATCCTCGGTTCATGCTGGAACCGTTACTTTACGGCTCGACGTTATACTAATAAAACAGGGTTTCGTGGAATACAATTATACTTAGAAAAACTGTAAAAAATGAACCATGAGTTATGGGTAAGCAGGTCTGGTGGTGGAGCTTTCGCTTCGCAGGTAGCGGCTGGCAATCAGTATGCTGGTGACCATTGACAATATAACTTTCGTGTCTCTTTCCTCCAAACCGGCAGTGCTACCAGCAGTAACAAGGGATCGAGCACCGCATGATAGTCAAAGATCGCGGCAACCAGTTTTTGCACAAATGAATTGAAATAGTTCATTGGTCTTAAAATTCCAAAAAATGTGACCAAAGGCCCCCAACACAGCAGAGCACTGATGGCAAATAACAAAAGCAATACAGATGTCTGTCGTTCCGAAGCCGATGGTTGGCTGCCAGATTGTGCCTTAGCCGCAGAGCCGATTGCCAATAGTTTCTTTCGTAATGATAAAACCCCACGTTTCCAAAATATGACAGGCAATGACAGAACCGAAATCAGAAAACAGATGCCGACAAGCGCTTTATTTATATTCTCCAGAACGTTAGCAGTAAAAAGGTCGCCGGCATCTGCACGAAGCAGTGCGCGACTTGTTGCGGCTGCCGGACAAAAACGTAAATGACGGCGCAGGGAACGAATATCGCATGCGTCAGAAACCACAGTGATCCCATGATCGCGTATGCCGACTTGAAGTTGTGAAAGTTGCGAAAAGAAATGGGTGCGGTAAGTGCCCAGGACCGGGTCAGTGCGATAAAAGCGTGGGTGATCATTTGCAGTGGGTTTAGCACGAACACAGCACAGGCGATGATGATGCAGCCGGGTACCCCTATCCACCGCGTCGGCTGCACTTCCAAAAGTATCCCGAAAGGCCCCTTGATGCTAATTTTGCAGATGTTGTTTAGCAAAAGACTTACGAAATACACATCGAACGGTGTCCACAGGCTGTGATTAATGCAGAATACGGCAAATAAAGCACTGTTAAGCAGAAACGCAAGTGCAAACGATGCGCCACTAAAAATTGATAAAAATACGTGGTTTTCTTGAGGAGTCGAGATAGTGCCGTTGCCTAATGCTGCACTGAAATTACCCTCTGTAGTAGTCAAATAAGCAACGTAATCATCCGCATCCATTACGTCGTCAAACAATTTCTACGGGCAAAATCTTGTCTTTATTTCTTTATCCAAAAGATTATGCAAAAGGTCATATAAACACCGAACTTGTTTGTTCCGGTTTCAGTGAGATTCAGTTACAGGATGTAGACGGGATGGAAGCTTCAAAATAAGACATAATGCTTTGTCGCAAATTAAATGAACAGTCATAACTCATAAAGCAGAACAACTCAGTAAAATCTAGTCGTGGTTTTACTGACTGGATTATGCTGTAACATCATGAAGTTATGAGCAATGTGGAAATGTATTTGTCCGTGTGATATTTAGTGGCACGTGTAGCACTTTGTGAGATCTGTTCAAATTGAATACTGGTACTTCGTTTATTTCGATCTGATAAGCAATATTGACACGTTGTCCTCATGGCGGATATATGAAACGGTACGGATGACATGTAATCAATCTCCGTAACTTAATGCTCTGTATATCACAGGGTTAAATATCAGTGTTCCAGCATTGTGTGAACAACAATCCGAATTTCTAAAATTCTATCCCCAACTCACGATATCCCCTTTATCTGAAGATTTCACTGCCAAAAACAAAGCATCCGCAACAACGTCTGTAAGCGCCGGTGAGAAACCCGAGGTGTGGCAGCTTATTATTTACGCATGCGTAAAATTTCTATGACAATGATCAACCAAGTACGAGTATGACCAGTACGGGAATTATTGTGGGAAAGTGGGTGCCGTTACGCACGAATAAAAGCAAATACACGTATATTCTACTGGCCAGCAATAAAATAAACACTATCGGATCAAGTGCATTTGTTTACTATGCCGGCGAAACGACAAGCCAGAACGTTTGTAGTTGACCTTTTCCTTTAACTTCGATTAATCCACGTTCTTGGACTTTATATCGCGAACTGCCAGACAGAAGCCGAGCCGCGTTCTGGCTGAGATGGATCTTGCCATCTGCGCCATTGGTCAAAATTCTCGATGCCGTGTTCACGGTGTCTCCGAATCTGTAATACAAAGATTCTTGCGAACGAAACAAACACACGCTACAAAAACCGGCAAGTGATGGCTCATATTCAGTGTGTAGCGTACAGGCAATAGCGAGGCACTTTCTGTCCAACCACACCGGCGGCACACATGCCACTATGAACACCGGCACGCAGTGATGTATCTTCGAAGACCGTTTCTAGACCCTCGTACGCTTTCAATAACGCGATTGCCAGTGCACATATTTCTTGCGCGTGGAGGTCTCCATTGCGTATGGGTATTCCACTGACCACCTAAATATACGGTACATATCTGATTTGTCAGCAGTCTGGCCTCTTATTTATAACGTTGCCAGGGTCACTGACATTGCTTACCATATAAGAATCCTTGATTGTTTCCACTTTGTAGACGTCAAAGGATGCCAGAATGCGATCAAACGAAGTGTACACCTATATCATCCCTTAAAATTAGTTCAGTCGAAACATGGTATGTTTATGAAACTGTGCTGCGCAAAAATACGTAATTTCGTGCTTACATTGTTTAGGAATAACATCACAGTTTTCGGATCGGCCGTATGTAGAACCTTTGCAAAGCCTCCGATCTCGCTGTCAATATTCAAGTAATATAAAAGATCATTTTATACACAAAATTTGTGTTGGTAAAGCAGCTGCTTACGTAAACATAATGGTCGACGATAGAAACATTTCCGCTTCCGGTACAGTGCCTCTCCTCAGTTGCTCGATTGCCATGCTAAATACAGTTAGATTGCATATTACTAATCTTGCTTGAAAACGACACGTGAACCACATGTGTAAGTAAATACCTGGGCAGCATCTCCCGTAAAAGAACATCACATTTCTTCCTCTCATCCAGCAATGCCATTGTGCGCAGAACGACCAGTCGATCCAGCTCGTCCGTGTAATTCTCCAGTCGTCGAATGATTCTTTCCACCAGCTTCTCATTGTCTTTCAGGGCGAGTCCCATAAAGCAGAACTTTAGCAGATGACTTATACTTGGTCGCTCATCCGGATTGGAGGATAAACATTTGACCAGCGCCGGGAAAAGTTTACTGAATTTGCTGTCAGCGTGATCCGCGATGCGCTTATACATAAACTCTGTATAAAGCATTAAAAATTACTCTACTAATCGAATTTTCACTTTTCCATATTCTTAACTGCAGCTTTTTTACCTGCACTGACCTCGCGATTCTAAGGGTTCTTCTTGAATAATGATATAGTATATAATCAGCCCGATTGCAAACATGTCGTTTTTCTGTCCCTCTTCATGTGCGGCATTTTTACTTGTGATATGAAGGTTAGCCAACTCAAGAATCGCATTGTTTCTTGCTAATACGGTTTCGATCTGCATATGGCCAGTTTTGCCAATTTTTAAACTGAAATGGCGATTGAGTAAGCAGCAGTGAATGTTAAGGAATCCATGAAACTTTACCGAAGACCGATGTATTGCTTGTAAACCCTAAAAAATATCAGAACTACAGCAATATAACCGAGCAAAAATGTGATAATACGTTTCGAACAATAAAGCGGCTCCAGCTGAAACGACGCGTGGTGGCTGGCTGCTCCTGCTAATACGTATTATTATTCACCTTAAGCAAGTCAAATAGAAATGACGTCTGCAAATCAAACTCCAGCATGGTCCTGGCCATGAGCTCGCAAAGAGAGCCACGAGGGCAGTATTCCGAAACCAGTAGAACTGACTTCTCAAGGAAACATAATCCAGCAAAGCGGCAGACGTTATCGTGGTCGAGGTCAATTACCTATTACGCACACAACTGTCCGCTAGAAGAATTAAGAAAGTAAATACAGTAGTCGCTGGCAGCCTGGCACCAAGTACCGTTTTAAGCAATGGTAGCAGAGGATTATTCAGATGCGGGAATGTATTTAGGGCGACGGGTGGGGTGGCGGCATACACCGGCTTTATCCACACCATTTGGTTGCGTTTAAGGTATAGCCTCACGCGATCGTTCTTGTCCTCCAGCTAAACTGAACAATTTTTTAACCCTCTGCGATCTTCAGAAACGTTTTCACGAAATGCTCTATCCGAAATGTAGCCTGACGCACCAGTTGCAGTTGCTCGGGTCTTATTCGCCAGGCTTCGGAAGTAAAGGTGTTTTGCGTAGCACGTCTGTAATTATTTGTATGACCTCTTACAAATACATATACCGACATTTACTTTGGGACCATGTTGTACTACTTATTCCTTGTTTATAACAAAACTGCAGTTACTGGGCTATTCCATGGAGATCTATCCTATGTATTCACGAGTTACAGACCTGATGAAAAGCGCGGTAACAAAAATGAATAACACTGTGGCGGTAATCGTTCCAACGCTGGCGCCAGTTATTGTTTCCAAAGTACCTGGCAAACGTACATTCGCAAACGCCAGCATTTAAAACGCAACTAATTTAGACAGACTTTTATAAACGCTTTATGCACCTTTTGGATGACATATTGGGGCGTCTCCTCGAAATCCACATCGAGGTTCATTCGGCGGCGGCCACGGAATTAACCACTGAGGCTGCTCGCTCGTATCCACCAGCGTAAACTCGGGAACTTTCAGGATGTACAGCGTCTGTATTTTGTGTGAGGTTAACTATCCACATCTGTCGAAAAAGGCAACGCCGGTACTTACTCGCACGCGTGACGTATTCCAGTCCACTTGGTTTAGATTGAGTACCGGCAACCGCTCGCCAACCTCATCGATGCAAACGTCCCCCATCTCGGTCGTGGATGTCCGGTTCATAAACTGCTTGGCTAGTTTTCTCCCAGACGACCACACCTCTTGATTTCCGGTCGCGCGCAATTGCTCCACTACCTACGTTAATGACGTCTCCTGTCATATGTTTGTATCAAGTGTAAATGCCAGTGACTGAAAATGACGCAGATCTGATTTCGTAGCATGGTCAGAGAATCGTTTTCGCATTATTTCGTAGAAATTCAGCTGTTTACTTCCGCGGTTTTTGCTTCGTCATATGACGCACTACCTGCGCAAGGATCATCATCGTAGCATATGCCGCAGCTGGATGTGGTGTTATCTGAAAGGAAAACCACCGTCATGGTAATTGATGAGAAATGTAAGCTGTTAATTGAAGCGTTGATTATTTTCTTGATTATCTCCTCAGTCAGCTTCTTTCTTCCTCAATTATCCTCATTCCTCACCAATTCGAATGGCTTGTATACGTAATTGTACTGTTCTTTGGATCCTTGAATCATTTGCTGGGTGAAGTTTTGTGATTCATTAGTTTTACCGTAAACGGCTTCGTTAAATTCCATCAACAGGACGGAACGATAGGCTTGCCTAGCAATCTGCAGCCACAAACCAGGATTCAGATTACGATGCTACATGTTTTATGAACGTTAATAATATCTATGAATGTTAATTGATTTTTAACTTTGTTTCTGAAATGGTTAATGTGTTTACACGAAGTTAGGAAATATTTCTTTGACCTGCTCAGCACAAATGCGTAGGCTGCTCTTTTGTGGCTTCTTTCATATCAATGACGCTGCTTTGCATAGCGGGTTCAAAAGCTGTTTACTAATTTCGTGTCGATGCAAAGCTTTGTTGCTTGTAACCCTCTAATAACTGAAAATCTCAAAGGTGACCTTCTGAAACAGTAGTACGCAGTACATTGTAGCGATAGTATTTGTACGAACGATAACACCGCCCAGTAATGATGAATCATTCCATCGCGTTATGAATTTGTGTCCACTTTTACCGGCTAGTTTCCCTTCTCATGAATTTCTAGAATTCAGTCTTGACACTCGCTTGCTACAGCTTGCATCTACTTGATTATTCCTCTTGTTGAAACTCTTGCTTACAACCTTGTCGCGTCCTTGATTCCCTTGTCATTAAACATGCCTTGAGTTACGTTGTTGTGTTTGACCGCTTGGGATGAACCTGTGTCATCCCAATCGGAGCCACCTGTGTAATTGAGTTACATCAGTAAAAGCGTCCTCGGCCAGCATCGTTGCTGGTCGTACCACCTTTCATCCTAACAGCCGACAGATCGTGGTAAGGTGGATTAACCAACCCACTAGAACAGCAGCCAGATAGGCCACTGTTACAATATTATAAGGAAAATAATCGTACAATTTTATAAATCCACTGTTCCAACAAAACATTAACACATGAACCACCCATCAAATTGTTATCAATACTGTCTTAAAATTTGACGCTCACCTTTGATTAATCCGCGTAATACCTGATTTCCTAAGCCCAGCTGCAGCTATTATTAAAAGCAGTCGCATTTAAGCGTGATCATAATGGTACTGCGTAACTTTTAAGTGTCCAGAATTTACTCAGCATCGTTTACGGCATTTAGCGCAAGCGCTCAAACGTTTACAATGGTTCACACTTCACATGGTATAAAATTGAACTCTGTTTGCAGTTTTTGGGTGCATACGAAGGGGTTTTCGCTGCATTCTTTATTAATGAATTCTGCTATTAGGTGTAATAAAACTTTATGTAGAAAGTTTCACTTGCTGCTTCGCGGGCTCCTCTTGGACCGCAACTCGCCGTCGCCTACGGCTTCTCTTTTGCGAATAGTGCACCTACGTAAATCTCGATGGTACGGCAAAACTTGCTTCCCGCATAAGCACGGTTATCAAAAGGTTTCAATATCGAATACAGCACATTCATGCAAAAACCTGACACAGGAGCAAGGCGCGTCTACATGTAAGACGAAACAGTTTGCACTTTTTCAGTACCACCGGTAAAATTATCGTACTGGGTTTGTGGAATTGAAGCTGTCATTAACATGACGCGCTTCGAGGAATCAGACAAATGTTATGCACTTAGCACAGGTCTTTAAAGCATCTCGCTGCAATCGATGCAAATTAGGGTCACGAACCAATTGGTATATGTATATGGAAGTTTATCAATCTTTGCACATGTTTAACCGCTATCGAACGATAATCGAGTTCGGTAAAGCTTTGGTTAGGAACCTATCAAACTTTGTCTCGTTACCTCGTCGTCAGCATCGCCCTTGTTCCATGAGTAGTAACCTGGTTCTGAACTTTTTCGGAATCCTCCCATAGCTATGTAAACCTGAATAAAACAGATTGACCAGATGAGTGTGAAGTAACGTTAACTGATATCCGCTTTGTAGATACCGAGTGCTGCCATGTACTCGTATGCTTGGTAAGTGCTTACATGCTCGCCGTTAGTCATGCTGAGATTTGCAGCCACCAATAACAGTTTACGAAATTCACCGAAATCGCCAAAATAAACGTACACTGCAAAAAGAAGGCTTTCGTAAGACTTCTTACCATTAATCTTGCAGTTCTATCTGTACTCCACGCATTTGATGCATAATGATATGATACCAGTAAGAAAGAGGCCTGTACCTACCTCGCGCTCGATCATTTAGACGGCGAAGCACGCCAATTCGCTCTGCATGGGACATGGTCGCTGAGTTATACGATTCCTGATAAGCTTGACGGCCGGATGCGATTAACGTGTTGGCCGATTGTTTGGCAAAGTCCGGAAAAGCCGGATTAGCACCGACGTCAGCTATGATACCCACAGACGTCCAGTAGAACTTTTTCGCTATACTCAACACCATACTGAGATAAATTTGGAACGAATTGCACGTTGTTCCGATCCACGTGGGAGTTATCGCTTTCTTACGAAGATTTAGGTTAGTGGTGACACTACGAGCAGTGATAAAAGGTCAAACACGAATGCTACAAGAAGCAGCTCCGGTAGCCAAATCCAGTTCTATGCAGAATTTAGCTGCAGCTTTACACATAGGATTCCAAAAGTATGTTTTCGAAGTTACTTTAGTAAATGAACCTGTAAAATTGGTCTTTGGTACAGCAGGCAAAAGTTCGCAAACCATTAGGCCGGTTAACGCAAAAACG